AGTAGGGAGATTTTCAAGTCGACGGGCTTGCTCCACTGCCAGCAATCGACAATACAGACAAATAAAATAATTTGCCAAAGCAGCAAATTTTTATGGCTATTGTTGTAATTTTGATTGTTGTGTGGCAAGCTATTGTATATTCATTTATGTTCAAGCCAGTATATGAAAGAAGCCGAGAAAATCAACTAGAAAATATAAACTGGCGTGTAAGAACAAGAGCGTGGCAATAGATATTAAATATTCGCAGTATACTATATAAAATATGATTTTAAAATAATAGTAAAAACAACAATTATGCCAGTAAATAAAAGCAAGATATGTTGAGCAAAAATCACAGACTTTGCAAGACTCTCACTCATTAATACACATACACATATGTTACAAAGTTGTAAGCATGTGAACATTAAATAAATTTATATTACAAAAACAACGGTCAGGCAAATGCAAGTTGAATGCAGAAATTACAAGAATAAAAGAGCAACAACAAAAGTGCTTTTAACAAGTGCAACGTAGTAAAATACAAATTCGAAAAATTAAAATGTTCTTTGTAGCTCAATTTAAAGTGAAGCGAACAACGACTGCGCTGTGAACGTACACGTCAGCTGATGAAATAAACAGCAACAAATGTCAATAGACGTTAGAGTGTTGACAATAAACCAGCAGGGAATATCGAGAATACTTAGTGGTATACCGCTTTCATAACATGAGATTAAAACATGAAAAAACGTTAACTTCGGTTGCACCGTATGGCAGCTATTGGTCCGACATCGGCGGGTCCGACTTGGGAAGAAAAGGACGTGTACATAATTTCAGATCGATATCTCAAAAACTGAGTAACTAGATCACATCTATACAGACGGACAGACGGACGGACATGCCTAAATCGACTCAGCTGATCATCGATATACATATACATTTAATAAGGTCATGACGTTTCCTTCTGGGTGTTACAAACTTCATGGCAAACTTAATATACCCTGTTCAAAATATAAAAAAATTATTAAACATTAACTTTTTTCATTTTTATATTTTAAAGCAGGTGGCAACGCCCAAAATAATATTTGCTAGTAAACATTTATAAAAAACACTAATTTCTCCTATATTGTCTTTCAATTTTTAAGTTAAAAAATTAGAAATTGAATAAAAATGGCAACCAGATTTCCACTTTTGAATAGCTTAAAGCTTTCAAAAACACCTAAAAAGAATACTTACTTTTAAGTTAAAAAATTAAAAATGTATTAGAGGTGGCAACCAAGTTTACGCTTATGCTTAAAATAAAGCTTGCATTAACTCTTAATAATACTACTTTTTTCTTTAACAACTTTTAATTTTAGGTTAAAAAATTAGATATTGGCAAGCATTTTTCCCTTTATACTATTGTAAAATTTAAGCTGTCAATATATCTTCAGTAGCACTTATTTCTCTAATATCGTCTTTTAATTTTATTTTAAAATGTTAAAAAATTTAATAAAGGTGGCAACCACGCTTCCACTTATATTTAAATTAAAGTTTAAAAATATTTTAAACAAATTGTTTCACTCACTGTAAAATTTTCTTGTACCTCAACCGTTTATAATTATGTTCGTGTGGCAACTCTACAAAATAGTATCTTGTTTAATGCTGAAATCTCGAAGAGACTATGTATCCGGTATTTTTCCGATATTGGGAAAGATTCTTTGTGAGTAAAACAACCACTGGTTCACAGAAGAATTGCTGTGAGAAGTTGGACGATAAGTAAAATTAGTAAAAAATAAATGAACCATATCAGAATTAATCAAGAGCTCGCTCTAGAGAATGCGATATAAGTGTCAGTCAGAATACTCAGCGTCGGATTAGACCAATGAACTTCACCATAAAGATGAAAAAGATCAGGTCCAAAGTATAGGTGCATAAACTCAATAGTGGGACCATTTGAAAACAGCATTCGCTGATATCAAAAATTAAATGCGCTATGAAACACGGATTTACCTCAATACAGCAGATCGCAGTAGTACAGTAAAAATTGTGGAATTCCTAAAAACATGTTAGTATATTTCGAAGAATCATGTAATAAAGATACATCACATTAAAACTTCTGAGAAACTTCTACAATCCGTGAAGGTTCTTTGTAGCGACTGGTTCTGTATTTGAACCAATGAACAAAGTTTACGAATTTTCTTACCGAGCAACTGCAAAGACGGTGCACCGTTAAAACGCCTTAAACTATTTGAACATAATAATGCTGGCAAAATATAAAATATATATACAGAACAGTTTATTTGGACCACCCGTATCAGTTACCAGTTGCCCGTTAGGCAATATACGAGTACACGCATATAGCTATATACCGACAAAAGTTTATGCGTTGAAGAAAAACCGTTTCTTTTTTTTTTTAAATCGTGCAGGCTGGTATTGTCTCAACTTGCATTCGAGTTTTGTCGTTTGTCTACTTACATTCTATATACATATACATATCAACTAACTGCTTTGTTGCTCACCTTACCTTCCCTCTGTGCGCTCACTTTATCGACCCTGTCCGTTTACCTTGAGGGGTCTCAGCTGGCAGGTAGCGCTAGTTCTTTGCTATTTTAGTTGACCGCCTTGTCGACCTTCTGTCAGTTCGGTTAGTTCGTTTTGTAGTAAATTACAAAAAAACAAAAACGCATAAAAACTAGACTATGTGCAAATACATGAAAATAAGTTGGTACACAAAGTGAACGAGTAGAAAAAGGTATAGAAGACAAAAGTAGCATAAGGCTGCGCCGAGCTTCTCTTTACACCGTCGCCGCTCTCATCACGGAAATCGAGTTGCAAGCATGGAAAAACCACTGTCACTGATACCCTCGTCTAGCTACGTTTAGAGTCTCAGTTTCTTTGGTCGTCTGCGAATTGGACATACCGTTTTTCAAGTTGATTTCTAATTTGTTGATTGTTGCTTTCATGGTAAATATTTGCCTTTCATTGTAGCTAAGTGCATAGTCGCATATACTTTCATGCCGAAATGCTATAACATTTTACCATTGCTATTGAAATATTCACAAATATATGGATATGCAGGATATTTAAAGTTTTTAAGGTTATTTATGACTGGGAAAATGCGTGCATATTATATCTGAAAGCTAACTCGAAAGCATATTTGGTTATTATGTAAGACTTTTATGAGTAAAAAAAAAAAAAAAAACTCGTTTGAACAAATTGGAAGACGGTTCTTACTTAACCTTCTTCTTCCGTTATCTGTAGAAGGCCTGCACATCGATGAATCAAATGATAAACACAAGCAGTAGTCATCCTCTAAACCAGGCAACGTAAATTATGTCTGTGATACCAACCATTGTCGGAGTCTTGTCAAGATCTGGTTTGCTCTGAACTGAGATCTCACGATCTACACACTTGAAACCGTTAATATAAGTATTGGTTTAGCAAAACTTTCACAGTTTGTTTCATTATATTCAGAGATGGTATTTTTATGATTTAATTGCATAACTATAGCATTTAATATATCATAGATCTACACTTCCAAGTCATACATCCCTTCGATAATGGAGTAATCCGTTTAACGAGATCATCCAGGACAACAAGAACTCTCAGTAAGCCCTCCTTATTACTTGTTCGTTTGCTGGCCATTATCTGAAAACTTCTTTTGAAACTCCTTGAAGCCGCTTTCAAATGGCTAACGAGCTTATTGAAAATCCGTAGTTAAATTTTTTCAATAATTTAAATATTCCATCGACGACGCTTGAACTCACTATCATGTGAAGTAGTAACGTCGGGTGACTTCGAGTCACATAATTGTTTTTTTATGCATTGAACAGGGTATATAAAGTTTATTATGAAGTTTGTAACACCCCGAAAGAAAAGTCGGAGATCCATAAAATATATATATAAATGATTAGCCATGTCCGCCTGTCTGTGTATACCCTAACTAGACCCTTAGTTTTTGAGACATCGATCTGAAATTATGCACACATTCTTTTCTTCCCAAGCAGCAGATCATTTGTCAGAACCGCCGATATCGAACCACTTTAACGTATAGCTGCCATACAAACTGACAGTTGACTGACAGATCAAAATCAAGTTCTTGTATGGCAAACTTTTCTATTTGACAAGATATCTTCACGAAATTTGACATGGATTATTGTTCAATGCAAAACTATATTCTCTGAACAAATTTTTTAGTTAGGACTACTATAGCGTATGGCGGACATATAAACTGAATGATAAAAATCAAGTTCTTGCATGAAAACTTGTTTAATTGTAAAAGCTTTTCTTATTTTATAATCATTTCAAAAGTAAAATAACATTTTGACACATACTGTATGCCTGATATTAAATTATGTATTGTACAACGTTGTATTTGATTGCCAACGGCGTGCTAAAAAAACAATTTTCAAAAATAGTCACTCTCGCTGCAATTCACTTTTTGCGCAAGCAGTTTGCGCAACCCATGCTCACAAATAAATAAAGCAAAAACCGTTTGAATAAACGCAAGCAGAGTGAGCATAGTGAGCAGAGAAAAAAGATGCGAAACAAAGCAAATCAAATGGAGGGGAAATACATAAATAAAAGAAACAATAAAATATTCGCAGAAAAGTAATTAATAATTCATAAGGCTGCTAGTAGACGAAATCAATCATATTTTTTCTCAACATTATGCTACATATATTTTCGCTACTATTGTTATTGTTAGTATGGCTTTGGTGGTGTATACGCGCATTGTGTATGGCAAATAAAATAACATAAATAGTAATGGTAATAAAAATGGTAAGCGTGTGATAAATATATAAGTAAATATGTGTGCCCTGTAAGAAAAAATATGTAGTTAAAGAAGTGAAATATTTTTTGTGTGTATGTATATATATTTAGTGTATGGTAAAATATAAGCAAAGTTCAACAATATTAGCGATGCATTTTTTGGAGTAACAATTTAAGATTGTTAATTTTTTCCTATAGGGTCTTGGAAAATTTTGTATAAACATATTTACAGATGCGTAATGGAAAGGCATTTATATTTATTAACATACCGAAATGTTGCCGCTTCTTGGTGCTAACGTTTTTTGCTATAATTGTTGTTGCTGCTGTCACTGCTGTTGTAATCCGCGTTATTAGCGTTATATATATATTTGGTTGTTGTTGCTTTGGTCTTACTTTTTGTTGTGGTTTATTGGTGGCCAGCTAAGCGCTCGCAAAGCCCTGGTAAATTCACTCCAAAATTAATGTTGCAAGCGGCAGATAGCGCACCAAAAAATATACATGCGTGTGGGTATGTTTGTGTGGCAGTCTGCTTGCTCGAATTACATATATTACTTTTATAATTAATTAGCTTTTTTCACTTTTTTAAATAATATTTTTTGCTGGTTGACACCGAAATTTGTTGCCACACTTCCGACGGCTTTATGCGCTTAACGGTTTATTTTTTATTTATTACTTTATGAATTTTTTATTTGGTTTGCGTACACTTTTTGTCACAATTTTGTTAGTCACGAGTGGGTATTTGTTTTAAAATTTTCACAACTTTGCGGAATGGCATAAAAAAAATTAGTAAAAATTAAAAATGTGTTAATTTGTTGGAGCTATTGCTCACAAGGGTATCATAAAATAGCATTTGGTCTGCACAAATCAAAAGCAAACAAACCGGCATACATACAGTACAGAGAGAAAGTTGTATTTAAAAAAACTAAGAAAGTTTAAAAAAGTTAATAAATAAAAATTACATTTATCAAATTTTTAAAATTAAAAATTTTAATTTAAATTAAAAAAAAATTCTATGAAATTTAAAAAGCTTAGCAAAAAAAGAACTTTTTTGAAATATTATAGAAATGAAAAAAAATTTAACTGTTAAATAAATGAATAAAATTAAAAGAAATAAATCATTTATATTTATTGCAATTAAAACATTTATGAAAATTAAAACATTTTACAAATTTATTAAAAAAATTTATAAATCTAATGGTAAATTATAAAAATTATGTATATGTATATTTAAAAACTACAAAAAAATTTATGAAATTAAGGTTTTTTATAAATTATAAACTATAAAAAAATTGTTAGTTAAATTAATATTCAAAAAAATTTAAGATTAAAAATTTTGTATATTTTATTCAACTTAATTTTTTTTATTTAAAGTAAAAAATAAAAAAAAAAAACTTAGCACTTTTTTGGAAAATTATAGAAATGAAAAAAATTTAAATATAAAAAAATTAAATAAAATTAAAAAAATAAATTAAATTAAAAAAATAAGAACTTGCCATTTAATGTAATTAAAACTTTTATGAAAATTAAAAAATTTTACATATTTATTTATAAAGTTTATAAATCTATTGGTAAATTGTAAAAATCAGAGAAAAATGTGAATTAAATTAATATTAAGGAATGTTTTAGATTCCAAATTTGTATATTTCATTAAATTAATTTTTTTATTAATAATGGAAAAGTTCATAAAAATTAAAAAAAGATGTATTTATTTAAATTTAAAAAATTATAAAAACATAAAAAAATTTATATAAGAAATACCAAATTTTTTAATATATATAAAACTAAGAAAGTTTTAAAATAAAAAAGACAAAAATAAGTTTATTTACTAAAATTATATTAAGAAATATAGCAAGTTATAAATTTTTAATTAATTTCAAATTTATTCATGAAATTTACTATATATTTATTTATTCCTAAAATGAAAAAAAATACTTAGAATTTTGAGGAATATATAAAATTAAAAAACTTGGAAGTTTCCTGTTAAATTATAAAAACTTGAGTAAATAATATAATTTAAATTAATGAATTATAAACACGTTGGTTTGTTGCTAAAGTCCGGATTTTACTATAAAAGAGAAGGATAGTTGTGGTAAACTTGTTTAAAAGTAACAATTTTTTTGAAAAATTTAAAAAAATTTAAAATTACATTTTTTAAAAACAGAAAAAATATTTGACCTTTCTAAACCAAACTATTGGTGTTCACATTGCTCTCGCATTAACTCTATATATACACTTATTAAAGAAAAAATTTTTAATTTTAGAACTATTTCCACATATTTATAATTTTAAGACTCAAACACACAAAAACAACGAAATTTACTTTACAAAATATCACTTAACCTGCTTGCATAAGTGATATTTTGTAAAGTAAATTTCGTTGTTTTTGTGTGTTTGAGTCTTAAAATTATAAATATGTGGAAATAGTTCTAAAATTTATAATTACTAACAAATTTTAGCTTAAACGCAAAAAAAGTTTGAAAAAACACACATAAATATAATGTTGTAAAAATAGATATTCAATCATAAAAAAAAACACATTATTTTGCAGCATCAAAATCAATGATTTTGATATGTGATAATAAATCACTTAATTAAAAATTCATTTGCACTGAATTAAATGCCATAAAAAATATACTGCAGAGGTATTTTGTATACTATAGGAATGTATGTTACATACGAATATGGAGATACAGAGCAGGTATATAAATCCAATCAAATTGGCAATAAAATTAAAATTTTTCTATTTTATGTTTTTCATTTGATTTCACAAATGTTGGTTTATAAAATGTATAGTTCAAAAGAAAGTTTTGAAATTTTTATATCTAAATAGAACGCAACTTATAAAAGTTAACTTTTGTGTGGATGGACATTCACATCCTGCCACAAACTCGAGTTTATTGGCTATTTATGTGTTTAGGTTTATGCTTGGTGACACAATTTTTTCAGTTTAAATTTTAGAAATAGTTTTTATTTTATTGTTAAAAGTTCAATTTTATTTTTTATTAACATACTCTGTTATTTTCTTTAATTATTGATTCATTAATTATTATATTTTTTGATGTTATTAAAAATTTTCGAATTTATAATGATATTTTTTCATTAAAATATTTTTAGTACATATTAAAAAATTTGGTTCAATAATATATTACTTGACAATTTTATTCTATATTTTTTTCGCTATACTCTTATTAATTTTATATTTCTACTGATACTTCTTTTTAAATTTTTTAAAATAAAAACTGTGCTTTTTTAAGCATACAATTGGACAAAAATTAAGACTTATTCAATCGTTTTTTCTATAAATATTTTTTTTTTTAATTAATTTAATATTGCTATTTATAATCTTTACTTTTGGTAAAAATTGTTAATTTTCGTATTTAATGTTTAAATAATTTTTTTATTCTTATTATTTCTAATGTTTTTATAGAAGACTGCTATTTCTAATTTTTTGTTGTAATAACAAACTTTTTTATTTTTTTCAAATAAATTTAAATTTTATAAAAAAAAATTTTTTAATATATGCACATTTTTTTCATTTTTAATTTTATATTGTATTATATTTCAAGTGCATATTAATAATTTTATTTAATATTTTTTTATTTATAATTATAATTTTTCATATATATAAGGTGCATTCTAAAAATTTAATTTAATATCTTTTCACTATATTAAAATAACTCTAAATTTTAAATACGTATTTTTCATTTTCATTCTTAATATTTTAATTTTTTATAAACTTACTGAATATATTTTTTATTTTTAATAAAAACTGTGTTTTTTCAAAATTAAATGTGGTATAAAGTTAAATTAAAAAACAGGTTTTTTGTTTAATATTGTTTTAATATGTTTTAAGCACATATTAAATTTTTTTTTTCAATTCATTCGTTTTTGTTTATAAATTAATTTTTATATTTTTTTTTTATTATTACTATCATTTTAGAACACAATTTAAATTAGCAAATGTATTAATTTTTGTATTGTCTTCATTTTTTATTAATTAAAAAAAATTAGATTATTTGGTTGCTTCATAGTTTTTTCTCTTTTGATAATAATTTATATTCATATTAAATTATTTACTTAAAATTTGTATTCATTTGATATTTTAATATATTAGCATTAATTAAATCTTCACAGTTATACTAATTTTCATACAAAAATAAACAAATTAAAAAAATTATCACACTCCGTACTTCCACTCACACATTTCACTTTATCTAGTATACTTTATATTAGAACATGATTTCAAAATTCTATTACTTCATTAACAAAAAATCCACATGCAACACCAACACCCGACACAGAACAACTCAAAGTCAGTGAGCAACAGTAAACCAGTAATTTCTGCAATCGATACTTGGGCAATAGACACAAAAAAACATACAAAACAAAAACTAGCAAACTTAGAATGAATTGTTTTTAGTTTTCATTTATTTTCAGCACACTGCTTGTTGTTATTGTTATTGCGCGCTGTTCTTGACTTGGCTTGGCTGCTTTGTCGCTACGCTCGCTGGTTTAGTGGTCAGTTAAGTTTCCAAAGTCGCACCACCAACAGAACAGAATAACAGCAACAACAACAATAACAACAACGACAGTAGCAGCGACAGCAGCAACATAGCAGTCAAGCACGAATCCACCTGCAACCGCAGCAATGCCATCCACTGTTTACCAACAGCTTAAGTAGAACCACGCAATGCCAAACAAATACTAATGCACGTGACAACAACAAAAAATACGCGCGCACACACAGCCAAAGCAAACACGCACACAAATGTACAGGCAAATAATAGATTTTATAATATATAAACAAAAGCCACAACACACACACGCACTCATGCATGTAGTTGTGTGTTGGATGGAAATAAGAACAAAGGCGGTAAAGGCAATGACGACCACTGCAGCAGGCGAAGGGTAAATGGGAGGGGAGCGACCGCGTTGGTTTCACACCTTTAACGGCCAGTTAGTGTTATGGTTGTTGCAATAAGTTTCGCAAAAGAGAAAAAGAAAACTAAAATGCATTTGCTGTTGTTGCCACAATATTAACTGGCATTGTTGTTGTTGTAGTGCTAGTGTTGTTGCCACTTGCCGCCGCTGTTATACAATATATATAAATATGTATGCCAAAGTATAAGTTGCAATATTATTGTTATATTTTGTTGTTGTTGTTGCTGCTGCTTTGTTTACCCGCTCTTTATTTCTTGCTCTTTTGTTTTTCTTACTTTTCGCACTTCACGTTGCACCAATTTCCGTTTGCCACTTTTCAAACGCTTTGTGTTATTGTTGTAGTTGTTGCTCGTATTTATTATGCGTTATTTCACACTTTGCTAAAAAAACATATTTCGTTCGCTTAATTTAGTTTTTTTTGTTGTTGTTGAACTTAAACACTTACTAGCTGTTTTTGTTGTTGTTCAATATTTTAGTTAACCAATCGCAGTGTTTTGCCTTTATTTCACCGCTTTAAATTTCGACTTTATTCAACCGTCTATCATTGTTGTTGTTATTGCATACTAGCTAACGTTTAACGCTTATTTGTTGGTTAGCTGCTTGTGCTGCTGTTAACACGACGAAGCACGAATTGCGACTGAAGTCTCAACGAACCGTTGCTTGTGATTTTATTAACTGAAATGCCTGTAACAGAGTTGCCATGTTGCGTTGTGGTGAAGTTGAAATTCATGTTACGTATACGCAACAACATGTGCTGGCTTGTGTGAGGTCGACAAGCGAAGGCATGCATGAGCGCTTGTTGGCTGGTGACTTTTAGCATGGTGTGTAGCTAGTTGATGAGCGTGAGTGTGCTTAGTGGGAGGTGATAAATGGTTACCGGGAACGGCGCCTAAAGTGACTGGTGTTTGAGTGGTTACAAATGAAACTAACACCTGAAAAATTAAATCCACTGGAGCTGGTAGATTAAGAGAATACAGAGACATATTCTGAGAAAGCTTAATCTTCTTTTTGACTGATACCAAAGGAGTGTAAGTAGTTTTTGTCAGAGTTTATGACTTTGTTTTTTTAAAATTCCACAACCACAACTGGTACGATATTTAACACACTCATATGTCAACCTTTTTTCTAGAGTTATACCATACTTTTCAAGTAATTCTGTATTATCTTCCAAATCATGTTGGCCAAAGGAAAATGTCTAATAACAATATTATCAGGTTGGCAATACATTCGGATGTCAGTTTTGGCCACGTCGACAAGTCTTCGCCAGTGTTCGCTGCTTTCTATTATCCATCCATCCATCCATCTGGAGTGTTTTCACCCATTCGGGCAAAATGATCAAACCAGCGCAGCCGTAGTATTTTTACCCGCCCTACTAAGCCTGTGGTGAGCTCATAAAACTCATAATTTCATCGAATCCGGTACTGCCCTTCGTCCGCGCTTAGACGCCAAAAATCCTACGTAGAACTTTTCTCCCGAACGATCCTAAATAATACATCATCCATTCTTCCGCACCATACAGCAGAAAGGAAATTATGAGCGTTAGTTTTTAGAGTACGCTAAGACTGATCCCGTGGTAATTAGCGAAGATTGCGTGATCCCCATTCTCGTGGGTGGGACCGAGGTAACAGTATTTTAAAAATATATTCTGGCGCTGTTTGGCCTACCAAGATATTTTAGACACCTGGATGTACCTTATTTAAGGTAGGCTGTCATTGGTGACGTTCTTCGCATGTACTTAGCTCTGTTTCAAGAGGAAATCTGTAGTTATGATTACAAAAAAAGGAACAAAGAAAAAACAGATGACAGAACATACACATATCGCTATATACTTCAACTGGAAGCTCGGGAACTTTGTTATGTGAACACCATTTACAAATTACGTATTCAAGCCTCAACGCCTAAATGCGTGACATTTTCTGTGAAATGTTGGTATTATTTAAAATTTTTTTCCTGTCACTTCATTAGCTTTTCGAGGTTATTAAAAGACCTCGCAAGTCTCATACGACAATTTTTCCTTTTCCTCTGAGTTCAATTTAACTTTAGCGAAGTCAACAACCTTTCTTAAAGTCATTGCCCTCAGGTTCTTGGCCTCAACAAAAGTCATTGACCCTTTTGTTAACATTTACTAAAGACAACAGCCCGAGGTCAATAACATTCGATAAGGTCAATGGCCTCTTTGTTTACCTTTCGCAAAGACAAGGCCACACAACTATCAGAAAAAGATTTTCTCCGTATTTCAATAATATAATATATACCACAGATTGACCGATATTTTCGTTAAAAAGTCAGCCTTAAACGCTGAGGCCCACTAATTTGCTATCTGGGGGTCTGGACAGTTATAGTCCGAGTTAGACTAATATTGGACTTGAAATTGCATACTCTCAATGCATTATTTGTGCACATTTTTATTCCGATAGCTTTACTACTGCTGAATTTATGCGCTATAAAGTGAAAGAATCAGATGGGATGAATTTCTAACAATATTTTAACCACAATTGCCAGTACCTACTGCGATTTCTTGATCAAATTTTACAGGTTTGTATCATAGTTATAGCACTTTACAAGTTTTCGATTAACAACATTGTTTGGGCGTGGCAATTGCATTTTGTCCTCCTCGTTGTACCTAGGAATACCTGTACCAACTGTCATCAAGATATCTTCGCTGTTACTGAGGTTATCGCTTGAAATACTACTCGTTTCGTCATTCCTAACATTTATATACATATGTATGCATAACTCTATGTCTACGGCGCTTAGTTTTAGGTGTTACAAACAATCGTTAAGTGAACAAAACTATCACTATTTGTGGCAACATTCTGCGTTCTTCAGTATAAAAAGCAACAACAATATTTATGGTGAACAAAAACATTATGCTGAAAAAACCTTCTGTCTAAAACAAAAGGCAATGACCTACAAATCTGTGAAAATACTGTTTAAACCAGTTCTGCCAATTAAAACGCAATGAAGGCTATTACAATTACGATTTTAAAAAATTAACACAGATAATATAGGTATACTAATATATTGTACAATATATATAGAGGTGTATAAATTCTTAAATTTTTGTTTTGCTTTAATTATTTTTGTTTGTACAATTTTAAGCATTCTTTTATTTATTATTTAAAATATACTGTTTTTTTGTATTTTTAATGCACTTCGATTTAAAACTCGTTATGATTACCAAGTAAATCACAATCAACGTAATTCAAAGCCATGGTCAAGGTTGTCTCTTATGCCCAATAGCACAGAAACCCGAAAAATACAAATACCTACATTCAAATGTATTTTACATATAAATATCTCAGCACAGGTATTGATAAGCATGTAAAAGCAGCTAAACAAATCTATTTTATTAAGCGGCTGATTTGAATGTTAATCGTTCGATTAGTAGTACTTGTTTTAAACAGAACCGACGCGCTGAGTCCAACAATTACGCAGTGATTTTGTGATTAAGCTAAAAAGGTGAGAAGTCGAGCGAGATTTTCGAAATGTTTTTAAGATAATTAATATGTAATTTATCCAGAATGTAACTCAAATACAATGAAAAGTTCTAAATGCAACACTCTAGCTAACAGCTATCAAATTTCGATTTGAAAAAATATACGAAATCGAAGAAGAGTAAAAAAATTAAGTATGGGAACTTACAAGACCAATTAAATAGTTAGAAAGCGGTTTACTCAAGTCTTGACGGCTGAAAGGTCTAACATAGAAGAGAGCTTCGCGAAATTGTTGATCGATTCAATATTCAGAAACATATTAAAAAAACGAAACGAAAAATTTTCGAGTTGATTAAGATCGAGGAATATGAAGAACTAAGGGCTTCCCGATCACTTAAAATAAATGAAACTCTTCCCTGTACGTTAGTATCAACTGATTAATTACTTTTTTTTTCTAGATTGATACAACATTTTTTATGTTCGTGTGAAATTTGATCTTCATATATCAATTAGTGCGTGTTTGGCAGCTGTTTGATTACGACGCGAAAGGTTCGTCTGGCGATTTTTGCTATGGTAAAAAAATTTAACGGGTTTGCTTGAAATTGTTTATATCCAATGGCATCACGGCTACGGCATCATTGAAAATGTTGCAGATTAGACTAGTGCCTTGCTTCTGAAAATGATAAAAAAAAATTTTTAAAAAAATGTTTAGTAGGTTGAAACCCATCGGAAACGAATGATAAAATGACAAATATTAAAGAAAAATAATTTACGGGTGATCTAAGATCGGGACAAGGATGGAGACCGGCGTGGTTGAGTTTTTAAGGGTCATAAACGATTTATCTCGACTTCCGTCAAAACTACGAGTCCTATAGAAAAAATGTGTATGACAATATTGTAGGTAACGAAAAGATCTATAACTTTTGTTTATAGACTTTTTTCACAAAACTTCAAAATTTATGTAAAAAATGCAAATAGCCAATTTTTTGGATTTTTTTATTTTTATCTTGTACAAAAACTTTTTTCATTTTTTCAGCGCTACTACCTGAGAGTTGCTGTATCATTAATTTATAAAAAATATTATCAATTTGTATAAAACATTTAAGGCTCTAGGCCTAAAGAGCAACAATGCGAAAAGTTCAAAAAACTCCAAAACAAGTTTTCGAATTTTGTTTATATTTTGTTTACTTAACTTTGCTCATTTTAAATACTTACAAATGACTGATTTGCTTTTGTTTTGCGTTTTGTAATTTGCTTTTTGCTTTTTTCAACTTATGTAGTTTTTTTTTTTTTGTGTTATTAGCACTTTTATTTTGTCTCGCAGCTTTCAAAAACTGGTTTATTAATTTGTTTATTTATTCTGCTGTAAAATTTTTGATTAGACATTCACACTGCGCGAACGGCGGATCGATAGAACAAAGTAAGAAACAAATTAAACTTAAAAAATAAATATAGCAAATAATAAAAAAAAAATTTAAAAAAAATCAAAAAAAAAATTTATTTTAATTAAAAAAATAAACATAAAATTATATTTGCCCATATTAACAAAGTCACAAGAGCGTGGAGAACAAGTTTTGCACAATGTTAGCTGATTCCAGTCTGGTTGGATCTAAATCCGCCAGAATCGCTGACGCCATACAGTTGCTCACACATATGCATGTAAATGCACACACACACACGGAAGCCTCTGCACATGCTTTTACTTATATACATATGAATATTTACTTGTGTATTAGATATTGTTGTTTTTTGTAATTACTGTATCTAGCAAATTTGCTGTCTGCGGTTGTTGTTATTGTTATTTAAGAAAGGAGTCAATGACAAGGTAAAAAATTCAATCCGAATGCGTATTAGAGATTTAGGTGTCACGAACTAATTGGATTGAAATGTATTCAAATGGAATAAAATAATATAAAATAATAAAATTAAATATTCTGATGAAATTAGATAAAATGTATGCATTTAGAATTTCAAATGCAAAAGTGATTACAATAACCTTGAAAAGGAGTTTGCAGTTGGGTTGGGCTTAGCGGCAATTTTCGTACATATTTTTTTCTTAATTTCAAATTCTGGCTGACCCAAAGTTAAAATTATACAAACAAACATAAACATAGGCACCCAGGCTAGCCGAAGCAACTACCACCGGCGCTCCTCCGTATTCAGGCTGTACCATTCAGCACGGCCGTAGAGCAAAGCCGGAACCCGTGTGATTGTAGAGAATTTTTGGAGAAAAAAATCTGCAAAACATCAGGGTGCCCGAGAACTCGGGACCCGGGTGGAATTGTTTTCGAACAGCAAACCCAACAACTTTTTAGGTATTTGTAATTTTATTTTATAATTATTTTGCGATTAGTTCTCAAATGACTTGCCTATTAATTCACTAATTATTTCAACGCAATTTTTAAAACAAACATTTTTGAATTACTTTATTTACTTATAAACAATATAGTGCGATGTATACGCTCACAACCAATCTCTAATAAGAACATCCGCCAGCTGCACAGCCTTATATATCTCGCCTCGATCACCGTCATTCGCAATGCCAAGCTGCAGTAAATCACCTTCGCTCAACGTACAAAATACTACATAATCCACTTCTTCCATTTGAAATATCGATTTGTATTTTATCATGCCTACACGCCGCAACAAGTAACCAACCCTTGGACTTAGTGGTTTCGGCACAGCATACACTTCAAACGGTTTTGCATAGCGCCGTTGCAACTCCTTCAAACCTAATGGCCGGCAATGACGTCGAGCAGCTAAATTTTTAACTGTCGAATTAGTTTTAGAAGAACCATCTTTATTTGCTGCAGCAAAATTGCGTTGCGTTGGCACCTCGAGACGTGTGGGGAGGCCACCAAGGCCGTTGGATGTATGCGGTGAACGCAAACGGCGAAAGCCAGCCAGTGGTGAACCACGACGTTGTGGCGATTTGCTATAGTGTTGTTTTAATTGTGGTGGCGCAAGTCGACCATTAATAATTGTTGGCGTTTTGGCCGGAGATTTTGCTACAGCGCGTAGTAGTGATTTTGGCGTTAGTATATTTTGTACTGTATTTAAGCGACGAAGCAAGGGTGTAAGCGTGGTGTTGTCATCAGGATCAGCATCACTGTTGGCACCATCAAAATCGAAACTACAATCTCTTATAGTGATCGGTGTGAAGGGAAAAATTGGTGAGGCAGGGCCTATTTATAAAAATTTTTGGCATAGTCATTTTAAGACTTTTATATTACATATTTTTAATATAAATAATACCTTCTAGATCCATTTATCAACGATATTAACAAATATATAAATAATATAAAACGAATAGAAACAAATGTAGCATTTATATGTAACGCTGAAAATAACTTTATTGCAGCTGAAGACACTTACCGTTAATTGGGTTACCACACTAACGAAGAAGAGAGATCAATTGTTTAGAAGAAGGCGTACCGAAACACAACATTAAATTTCACTACTCATTTTAGCAATTTACTAATTTAAATTTAAAATTGTCTAAAGGAATACACGTAACGAACTAATATCTCTGTAAAACCCGTCAAATACTGATCATCGTTTTGTTGCCATTTTTTTTTTTTATTTACATATCCGGTACGTTACAAGTTTATAAAGGTGTACGAAAAAACTATTGTCAATCACAAAATTTTATAGTATTCAAAACACATAATCATATTATTTGTTAATATTTCAGTTTCCAAAGTAATCAGACATAAAAAATTATGCTGAAAAATATATTTGATCTAATAAAATTGTTTTTTCCTGATAAATAGTGTCAAGCTAAACTCTGTTAGTAACAACTCTGACTTTACAAACAAACGAAATTACTATCAAAACAAAAATAGCAAATAATTCTCCTGCATTTCCACTTTATTATGTCTGACAGTTAGCTACGGACAGTAAACATAAAATAAAATTCGCGAAGGGGAAAGCAGAAAGAGTGGAACAGCATTGACAGCTGTTCAGGCAAACAGTTGACAGCTGCAACCAATTACAACAGTAAAAAGTGGTTGCCAATGCTATATGAGTGTTTGATATGTCGTTAAGAACTGTTTACTTACATTCTTTTTAAACAATATTGCAGCTTAATAGTTTTATCATAATACACAATATAAAAAATTTTACTCGCTATAATGTTATGAAATTCATTTCCTTTACTTGAGTTTATGTATGTGTGCAGCTGCTTTGTAGTCCAAAATATTATGGCAACCCTAAATTTTTTATGTGCTGCGCGTTCACTTTTCATAGTAGATATTTCTAACTTGTTTCCTTCAGTAAAAATGTAAAAATTTGTTATAAAAGCGATTTCTTTGAGTTAAAAAGGTAAGCATTGGAAAATAAATGTTTGCCGCTTGAAAATTTTGTACGTATTCAACAAAAATGTGTTACGTGTATATATATAATGAAAAAATAATTGGCAGCTGTAATTTGAGCGGCTCTGAAGCAGTGTGAAAATTGTGTGTGTAAAATAACATGGTGCCGAAAGCAAACTCATTACATTTATAATGTAGAAAACGGTTTTATGGTGCTGAAGTTATAAAAAAACATTGAAAATTGTCGATATACAAAATTAGTTAATGGTATATATCAAGCATTTCATACACATTTCGCCTTGCCTTAAAAAACGCTTTGATGGAAATACAATAAAGTGAAATGTCTGAAAGAGGAGAATGATTCTCCGGTTGCAACGATTGCCATTTCGCCCAATTTATTTAATTTTATTTATGCTCCAAATTCTTCGGTATGAAAGAGAGCTACCAGATGTTCACAATAATTGTAGAACGGAATTGCCGAAAGAGAAAGTCAGTTAAAAAGTAGTATGTTTGTTAACGTATCAGTCTATTTCTTAAATAGTACAATGAACAACCTGAAAACAACTCCCCGCTATTGCTTATACCTTTAATAGAAAATAGTTCCAATTCGTTGAAAATATAATGTTTAGCGTTTTTATATTACTCCGCTAACATTTTATTCGTGATCTTGGTTAAAAAAAATCGAAAAGGTATAACGTGCTGGATATATAAGTACATTAGTTGAAATTTTTTTTAGTTGTGTTAGGGTATTTTCTGAAGTTTTTTTTCCCTAAAATATATATATATCGATAACGGACCTGAAATCTTTCTATTTGCTAACTTTTTCGCTCATCTGGTAGCATTCTGTTTCGCACACGACACCGAACGACTGCTACGAATTTATCCAACCATAGAAGACGGTACGGAATAATCTTTAATTATTTGGTTCAAAAATATGTTATTAACCCCAAAATCATGAAGAAATCATAATATAAAATGTGTTAAATATAATGAATAGAAATTGTGGCAAAAAATGGTGAAAATTTGTTGAAATAGTGAAAATAAGGTCGCCTTACAGATGTGAACGAGAAAAAATATTCAGACGAAAAAAGAGCTGCGAAATACTACCGTAAGCAGATGAGAGCCGTATGCGGCAAGTGTGGTGTGTGAGCAGGAGGGCAAAAACGAGAAATGAAGTAAATGGAGAAATCGTCTGGATAGAAAAGAAAAACAAAAAAGGCAAATCAACAAATATATAAAGTGCCGTTTCACACAGGGACGCAAAAGAGTCTCAAACCAGTTTATTGTGGGCGAGGGGACGACGAGGAAAGACGAAGGGACCGTGCCACTCGTGTTCGGGTGGCACGCTTTGTGTTCTTGTTCGTAACAGCTCGCTGCTACCCTTTTCAGCATTCCTTTTCACTTTCAAATCCTTTGAATGGTTGCAAGAGCGCTCGGTTTCAAATGAATTCGATCGCAAATTTGAGTTCTGTTATCTATTTTTGTATGTAATATGCAAATATGTATGCATAGAATAATAGAAATATTATGACAAATTGTAAATAAGGAGAAAATTAAGATATAGATTATGGAGTAAAGAAATTATGAATTTTTAATACGCAGTAAAGAAATTATGAGTTTTTAATACTTAAAGATTAGGAAATTGCTATTATAAATTTGGCCTTGAAAATGTTAGTTGCGGATATTCAATACATTCTTGTGGATTAGGGAATTCCCGTCTTTAGTATTTTTTTGAAACTATTTAGCGGGTAGGTACTTGTATTATGCATATTGTTCTACCATATTCATGGTAATTCATTGCAAGCAAAATGTGTGACCATCATCTCAACATACAAATGAAATACGCAGCATGCAGTGTTGCGCGGTGTTGCGCAGTCGAACCGCACAAATATTTACGAACATTTTGTGAAAAGGAATGCAGAAAAACTAGACTCGAGTTGCTGGACTCTTTTTGGCCGTGTGAATGCCCAGAGCGACACCAAAAGAAAATTTGAAAAAAATGCGACTCTTTTGAGTCCCTGTCTGAAACGGCACAAGAAGAATTAAATTAAAAAAATATAACCACAACGAATGCCACAACAAAGTGAAATAAAAATGATGGTAGAGCTAAAAGTTCATGCTACGATATAGAAAAAGTTGTGTAAAATATGTAAAAGTTTAATATGTCCTAAAAATATGACACTACACTCTGTGTACAATATAATATAATTAATCATTCCAATAAATCCTGCAATTAAACCCATACCATTGTATGGTTTTTAAGTTAGAAGATACAAACATGTAATTAGAAGTTAAACAAGCTTAAGCAAAACATAATAAGTGTGACAAATTATTATTTTAGTTTAATATGAATGAGAAGAACTTGAAGAACGTAAAATTTATTTGTACACATGGACACCAGCTGAGTGGGCGCAAATTAGTGCGTATTTCACCATTAAACGTCCAGTCTTTGCTCACCGCTATATTGAAAATTAAAGCAGCCATCACTGCGCCGGCCTGAGTGTAGTTGTTGCTACGAAGCAGCAAAAATACATTTTATCGTCAAAAATGTGCCTTGAAGTTTTCAATGACCATGAGTAAACATGTTGCATAAAAAAGGACAAATAGCGACGCTAGAAAAGAATTTAATATTTTACGCTATATTAAAGAACTATACCATTCCCTACTGAAAATATTTACTAAAATTGCATTTTTTCTTTTCTTTGCAGTTTAAATACAAGCATTTCAAGATGTCGTAATTAATTAAGAAATGGAAGCAGCATCAGAAGTTAATTAATCCGACAACAATTAGTTTAACAACTTTGTAAAATAGATTTGTATAATAATCAACGCATCAGTTACATTCATATTAATCTTAATACCCAACAGTGCACAATAAGCTTTACACTACCAAAAACAAAACAAACCAAAAAATAAAAAACCTAATAATAATTACTATAACTAGTACGATAAGCAGCATAAGAAAAGATGACCGAAAAAGAAATGCAAGCACACGATATGGTGAGGCGGCGCAACTGGTCGCGTGCCGTTTCGCTCTACGACCAAATCTTAGAGCAAATCACTGCAGCTGTTACCGCCACCGCTATTGTCTCCGCCAACAGTAATAATAATACAGCATTGGCGCGTTCACAAAAAGATCGACAAATCGCTTGCCTTTTGGGCCGCTGCGAATGCATGTTGGAGCTGAGCCGCTATGAGCAATGTCTTGCTGATGCGCGTAAAGTATTGGCGCTGCTGGGCGATCAGTCTGCAGATTGTCTGGCAAGTGTATCACGTGCGCGCCGTTGGCTCGTGCATGCGCTATGCAAGCTGAAAAAATATACTGTGAGTAAAACTTCAATTTGCGCAATAAATGTGAACTTTATGCTTTATATACTGTATATTGTAATTTTTCTTGTTCGTTAACAGGAAGCTGAGCAGCTGCTGCGCGAGTGGATTGGCGAACTGAATGGTCATCAAAGTTTTTTAGACATTTCCAAAACATTGGAACGTTACAAATCCATCATACAAATGATAAATGGGCACAAGTCCACACAGAAGATCTCACAGTCACGGCTTGAAGACGAAATGTCCATATTGGACACCAAACTCGACCATTGGGCTACCAATAATCTGCCGTTGGACAAATACAGCAAATTGCTGAGCAACAAGGGACTGAAGAAGACACGCGAAGGCGTTAGCGAACGTGGCGGTGGCGATGGACGCGGTAATAGCAACAATAGCGCTTGCAATAATGTTGGTCCCGGGCAACATAACGGCTCTATTGGTAGCGGTGGTGGCAGCAGTAGTATAAGTAGTAGCAGCAGTAGTGGAAGTGGCAGTTCCACAACAATATTGCCAAAGACAACCGATTTGTTGGCCGCGATAAAGGTAACGGGCGGCAAGCATGGCATGTCAACTGTTGGTGGTGCCGTCGAAGACAATGACAATTCCACCTACTGTTCCTACTGTGCGATTAGTTTTGAGACGCGTAACGAGTTGCGACAACATTGCCAGACTGAAAGTCATCAAAATGTTATTATGTCGTATGAGGGTAAATTTTTTGGTATTTTAAAACTAAAGTGCATTTTTTTTTTTATCAAATTTTCACTTTTTTTGTAAGGACGCGACTGGAAGTGGAGGCCACCACCTCGCGGCTTCACTTTGGATTCGTATACCTTGTGTGAGGCATACCAGGAATCACAGTCATGCCACTATGGCAACCAATGCGTTGAGGCGCACGGACAAGACGAGCTAAACGAGTGGAAAGAACGTTTCGAATATCGACGTATGCGCCTGCAAAAGGCCAGCGAAAAGGAGCTCTACGGCAAATCGTACACCGAACAAATATTAGATCGTTGGATACAAGCGACAGCACCCGAGCGCATAATGTGCGAAAAAGTGGATGGCGTTGAGGTGCGTTGCGAGCAAGAGCTAGTGACAAGCATTAGTTCGAAGAGCTCTAAACGTGAGTGGATTTTCGTGCTGAAGTCGACACGTGTGTTACGTGCCGTTGCGCTGTTGCAAGATGCGCACCGCAATCACTATGCCATCACCGGCATTAAAGTGGATGGCACAGCGCCCATTTACGATCTTAAATCCAATCAAGAATGGGTCTCAAACACTTACAAAGTGTCATCAATTGAGAAAGACGCTACGAAGACATCAACAAGTGAGTTCAACGATACAACGCTGTCATCGGCGCTTACCAACTTGTCAACGGATGCGCCAGCGCCAATTTTGGAACATAAAGTGACGTTAGAATTTCACACAGACATTTATGGCACCTTCCGGCAAACAGTATGCTTTGATTTGGGCGCCGAACCGTTGCTGGTGCAGCAGCTTTGTGTCGATGTAGTGCCGGTTGGTGATGCCGAGCGCATTGAGGAGATCAAACGTGACATTATTAACAGTTCGGTGACGCGTTGGGATGTTTCCAATACGAATTTAGTGAAATTCGAGACCACCATTGGTACACACCTGAAGACTGAAGCCTATCTAAACGATCTGAAGCACGAAAAAGAGATGCTCGAACGGTATCCTTGCCCGCGTGCGCAAACCTTCACACTAACACAATCGACGATTGTCGAGAAACGTCTAACGCAACATAATTACCGTTCACGCATACACGAATTACTGTATGTGGAGGAGATAGCACGTTACGAACAAATCGCACGCTACAATGTGCGCACCAAATTGACTGTAACATCTAACTATATACTGACACCGGCTGGTATGGCAACCAGTACGGCGAAATTCTCGTTAACAGGCGAATTATTCGCCTTAATGCGTCTCGGCAAGGCCATTTCCGAAGACACTTCAGCTGGACGTTTGATACTTTCGAATTGCTCCAGCGTTTACATTAGCGCACCGGAGGAATTGCACGCCTTAAAGGAACGCAAACGTAATGTCTACGAGGCCACCATTGAGGATAAGGGCAAAAATGTAATTTATCTTAAATTATCTGCTAAATGTGTGGAAGGCATGAATTTGAAGGCTGATACCGAAATCGAAGTCGACATACAATTTCAATTGAATCGCTTACCATATTGTGAATGGCATAATGCAGTTGATAAAATAACCGATTTCAAAATCATTTTTCCTGCCACCGAAATCGAACCGAATATTCCATGGACACCGAAAAAACAATGGTCCGACGCGTGTGAGCCGAAATTGAATGCAAAGCAACGCGAGGCGGTGAATGCTATCACCACTTCGCTGGGTATTAAATTACCGCCCATTCTATTGATTGGTCCTTTCGGTACGGGTAAAACATATACGCTGGCGCAAGCGATTAAACATCTCTTGACACAGCCTGAAGCGAAGATTTTAATTTGTACACATTCGAATTCTGCCGCCGATTTGTATATCAAGGAGTATCTACATCCGTGGATTGAGCAGGGTCTGGAGGAGGCAACACCATTGCGTGTATACTACCACAAACGTTGGGTGGCTACGGTGAACAGTGTCGTGCAGAAGGTGAGTTTGGTTGCCGCTTGGATATGTACCATAGGAATAAATATTTTATCAGGTCAACCGATGTCAAGCTCGAAATGTTTATTTTCATATTCAGATAATTTGCTTAGGTTTTTGCAGCAGTTCATGGTCTCTAGCCCCTAGTTGTGGTCTGATAAATAGCATAAAACTTTCTTCTATACCCCTATGAAGCAACACACGATAATTATTGTTGTACCGACAGAAAACATCCATGAAGTAATTTGGAGGAATGAAAGAGAAAATAATTGAAGAATCTAACATTAAAAATGTACATGGGGCCTTTTGAATTTGTCATAGTTCGACTTTTTCTTTATGAAAAAAACATCCCTGAAAACTTCTACTAAAAAAGTTTTCCCTTGTAAGATCATTCCAGATATTCTAATTTAAAGAACTTTCTACAACTGTGTAAATACCACCCATTTGACCCTAGATAAAGATTGTTGTCGTAACGTCATTACTTCCCAAATATTTTTGTAGAACGCTATCGAGGTAACAGCCTTTTGTCGGATAAAAATTTTAGTCCGTTTCACTTTTGTGGACTTAGCCTTTTCTGGATGCAGGACCTTGAGGTCTTAACCAAAATTCAATCAGAAGTTGTCAACACGTTCACAATTTTACCCCCGGAACACCGTTATTGGTGCGAAAGGTTCAAAAGTCTCAGTCAAAAAGCTCTATCTGCCTCTCTCTCTAGAGATCCATACAACTCCTGTGAAATTCCTTTCTGGACACTAGTAAGTTGAAGCCCCACAAATCTAGGCTTAAAACGAAATACGCGATATAACCGTCGAGGAGGTTGGTTTCTTCATATGATTACTTAGCGAAATCCCCTTGAATAAGCTTAGTTCTTGGTCCTGACAGTCTCCTTTTCGCTCTATTAAATTTATACAACACAACTTTATTGATTTTGGGTTTATATGGTTTATCATAACCACAGTAGCTATCGGAAGGTTTTTATATAAAATCCAACACGATTCGATTATTAAAATTCTGCATTTAATTCTCACCCGCAGTACTGTATAACTGACGGCGCTGGAAATTTCCGTCGACCCACCGTCGAAGACATCAAAAAACATCGAATTGTTGTGGTAACTCTAAGTATATCGATGGAATTAGCCAATCTCGGTCTACCCAAAGGATATTTCACTCACATCTTTCTTGACGAAGCCGCACAGGCTATGGAATGTGAGGCAATAATGCCGCTGGCGCTAGCTAATGACAGCACGCGCATTGTACTGGCCGGTGATCACATGCAAATGAGTCCCGAACTCTTCTCCGCCTTTGCAAAAGAACGCAAATTGCACATTTCGTTGCTGGAACGACTGTACGATCATTATCCTTCGAATTTTCCGTGTAAAATATTGCTTTGCGAAAACTATCGCGCACATGAAGCGATCATAAAATTCACTTCAGAATTATTTTATGAGCAAAAATTAATTGCTTCCGGCAAGCAACCGCGTCACGAGCGTTTCTATCCGCTCACATTTTTCACCACGCGTGGTGAAGATGTGCAGGATAAGAATTCCACCGCATTTTACAACAACGCCGAGGTGTACGAGGTAGTAGAACGGGTTTCCGAGTTACGACGTAAGTGGCCCGTTGCTTGGGGCAAGGTGAATGATGCCAGCATCGGCATAATGACACCCTATGCCGATCAAGTGTTTCGCATACGGTCGGAGTTGCGCAAGCGGCGCATGGGTGGCATCTCAGTGGAACGTGTGCTGAATGTGCAGGGCAAACAATTTCGCGCTGTCTTCCTCTCCACCGTACGCACGCGCGCCACATGCTTGCCACAAATGATAAACGCTATGATGGGACAGGGTGGTATGCATCCAGGAATGGGTGGTATGGGCGCATTGCCTGCGGAGGATGCCGATTACGGTTTCTTGAGCAACTCCAAGCTGTTGAACACGGCAATTACACGCGCGCAGAGCTTGGTCGCCGTCGTTGGTGATCCAGTGGCGCTTTGTTCTATCGGTCGTTGTCGCAAGGTGTGGGAGCGCTTCATCGAAATATGTGACGAGAACAAATCCTTATTCGGCATAAAATGGTCATACATGCGTTCGCAATTGGATGTTGTGGAGCTAAAGCGTGGTTATGTGCTAAATCCATTGGCGCCCGAATTCATACCGCGCGCCATGCAACCGGAAGCGTATTTGCGCGACCAAACAGCTATGTACTTGATGGGCGCTGCAGGCGCCAATGTCAGTAATCATCACGGTGGACCGCATCCCGGCGCTGGCCCACATCATACCGGCGGTCCATTGCCGCCACACGCTGCCGGCATGTTGGCCGCTGCTGCCGCAGTAGGAGGCGGCGGCGGACCAGGTGGTGCACCAATGCAACCACATCATGCCGCGATGGCGGCTGCTGCTAATCATCAACAACAAATGCAAATGCAGATGTACGCGCAGCATCCAGCCGCCGCAGCCGCTTACAATGCAGCCGCCGCAGCTGCGGCTATGATGAATCAGAACATGGTATCCGGCAAAGGTGGTGCTAGTGGGCATCACTTCCCTGGACCAACACATGGGCCAAATCACATGAATATGCGCGCTTTAGGACCGCATCAACCGGGCGGACCGCAACAGCAGCCAGGACCACCACCACCAGGACCGCTGGGACAACAATATAACATGCGCGGACCGCCGCCGCCACCTTCCGCTGTACATTTGAATCAGCCGCCGCCACCAGGCACGGGCGGTGCACCATCACAATTCGCCGCACAGTACATGCCATGGCAACAAGCGCAGCAGCAATTGCGCGGCGGACCACCAGGTAGCGGTGGTGCTGGCGGCAACTATCCACCACCAGGCGCACAGGGACCACAATCGCAGAATCCGAACGCCAGTCTTTGGGGACCACCGCCGCAATCGAATCCATGGAGCGCGCTGCCAAACAAGCAACAGCAAATGCCACCGCAACCGCCACCGAACAGTGTTAGCGGCGGCGGTGGCGTAAGGCAAATGGGCCCACCGCCACCAAACGCGCAACAACAAACAGCGGTTGGTATGCGCGGTGGTAGTGTACCGCTGCAGCCACCGCCGCCGAATGCGCAACAGCTGCGCGCCAACTCGAATGATATGGGCTATTTAGCGAAAAAGGCTTACGGACCGCATGCCGCGCCGGGCGGACCACAACAACAGCCGCCACTACCACATGGCACTTTTGGCGCGTACGTAGGCAATAATGCACCACCGCCACCGCCCAATCAACTGCAATTGTTGAATCAACGTAATCTGGGTGGTGGCATGCCGAACGGACCCATCAGTCCACTCGATCCATATATGCAGCGTGCGCAGGGCGGCACTGGCCAGGCGGGAGCGCCGCAATCAGCAAACAACTTCTTTGGTGGTGGCGGCGGGGTGAATAATATATCAGCGCTGAGTAAGGAGAACAAAGACTTCCAGTTTCTCAACAATGTGCATATGCCGCCTCTGAATTTAGGCTGCAGCGGTGGAGGAGGCGGCAGTGGTGGCGCGAATAATCTTTTCCAACCACCTGGCGCGTTGCAGCCACCAGCACCAGGCAACAACAAACAGCAGTCACCGTCAGCGCAACGTTTTCCACAACCGCAAGAGTATGCCGCACTACTGCCACCCAATATGACCATCTATGACATGGCCTTCGAGCCGAAGGACTCGCAATACAAGTGGTGTCTGAAGCTGCTCGAAACACACGGTCAAGAAGCGGTGAACAAATTTACCGAAGGTCTCGGCCAAGTGCTTAACATGCTGAACCAACAACAACATGCCCAACAGATGAACGCGCGTGGTCCGCAAATGCAAGCGCCACCACCACCGCCGCATCTCAACATCAATCAGTTGCTGCCGCGCGATCTGATGCAGCAATATATGCTGCCCGCTTTGATGGGAGGCGGCAACGCGGGTGTGGGACCACAACCACCAATGCAACAGCAACAACAGCAGCAGCAGCGCAACAGCCTGATAGGCGGCGGCATGCATCACTCATATCCGATGAATCCCTTGGCCGCCTTGGGTAATCAACAAGGACCACAACAGCCGCCACCACCACCATCTCTTTTGCCACCGCCCACAGACGAAACGCCGCCATTGGATGGCATCAACTTTAACCAACAAATCGATTTGGCTTTCAACACTTTGTTGAATGGCAGCAATGCTCAGCCAATATTGCGCAATCTCTTCAGCAACACGGGCAACCGTGGCGCAAATAGCAACAGTCTGATGAATGGCGGCGATTTTCTGCTTGCGTCCAGCACTTCGGCATCGTCTTTGGTCAGCACGAGCACATCGGCGTCTGGTGGTTTGGGAGGTCATGAGTCGTTGCCGCCGCAACAGCAAATGAAATTATTCCCGGGCTTAGGTGGAGGTGGTGGCGCCGGCGGCGGCCCTGGTGATTTGGGTAGTGGAAATATTTTAGTTTCGGCCTTGCAACAGCCGCTATTGAATAACATGCAAAAGGGACCGATGTTTGCGCCAATGCAACACCAGCAACAGCAACAGCCACAACATATGCTCAGTCAACCGCCGGCACAGCAGCAACAGCCACCGGTTGGTGGTAGTTTCTTAGGCGGAAGTAAGTTACACTTGATTTTAATTTGTATTAAGATAGAGGAATTTCGAAAACTCCTTTGAAAGTTATATTTTCTATTTTCGAAGTTTATTTATTTACATGTTTTGAAAGATTTTAGAAAGTTTCTGTATCCTAAATTTCCAATTTATTTAAACTTTATAATTAGCAAAAAAAATTAATATCGAAATTCATGTTTGTTTGAAAATGTTGTCACTTTTTTTTTTTGGCAATTTTCTAATTAAATGTTTAGTTTTCGAATGTTATCGTTTTTACTACAAAGTTGTAAAATTCAATAATAATATGAGCAGAATTTTATAATTTTAATTTTTTGATTAATTTATGTTCGAATTTTATAATATGTATATACAGTATTTATTACTATCTCAAAGTTCTAGTTGAAGCTAACTGTACTTTCAATTGCCATAATTAAAAGTTTATTTATTTCGTAGCATATTGAAATGCTGAAAATACGAAATTTTTACTTTGAAATGAAATAAAAACTAAAATTTATGATTTCGAATTTTTTCGATGTTGTTCGAATTTTCGAAAATAGATTTTATTTATATACCAACCTTTTTAATGATTGAAATACAATTTTACAAATTTTTCAGTACATTTTCTATCAATTTCGAATATTTTCGAACTTTCGGAAATAAAATTTTGTATATTTTATTGAAATATGAAACTTTTTCTGCTTCAAATACAATTTTAGAAGTTTTACAGAACATTTAATATGAGTTTCGAAATTTCACGCTTCGCAATATCTACAAAATAAATTGCTAATATATTGTTTATTCTTTAGATTCCTTATTGAATAGCAAAGATTACTTGCTAGGCGGTGATGACAGCATACTCAGTGGCGGCTCTAGCGTGCCACTCTATCGACGTCAAGCGATGGGAAACGGCAGTTTGAGCAACAGCATCAGTGCTAGCGGTCAAAACCACAGCCACAGCAGCAGTCACAATAACAGCTACAATAATGTGGGCGCACATACAGTGACGGTCGGCGGCAGTAATAACAGCGGACATTTATTGCCACCACCTGACAACATACTCACAGGTGGCACCACTGACATACTGGCCGGTCTGAATACGAGCGCAAGCAACCTGATCGAAGCGCTGTTCCAGACGAATGCAACAACAAGCTCGGCGCCCACCACCTCAATGCCGAATAATACAATTACAACGAGCACCGGTTTGGAGCAGCAACATCAACCACAACCGACACAACAGCAAACTGCCGGCGGCAATAACAACACCAGTTCATTTCAGAAAATGTTTAACAGTTATGACATTTACGGCTCGTCGGCAGCGACCGCGAAAAAATACGAATTGGATTTGTTTATGCGCGACCATCAGCTGGGAGGCGGCGGTGGTGCTGGTGGTATGGGTAGTGTTGGCGCTGGTGCTGGCAATGTGGGTGGCGGTAATAGTGGTGCTAATGATGCACCGCTTACGAATAATCATCAGGCGCATTATCACAACAACAACGCCGATAGTCGCAACAACACCACTTATGCAGCTGTGCTTAGTCAAGGCCAACATCATCAACAACAACAACAACAGCAGCATCAACAACAACAACAACAACAACATCAGCAGCAACAACACCACCAACAGCAGCAGCAGCATCATCACCAACAACAGCAACAGCAACATCACGCCATACAGCAACAACAACAACACAATAATTTTCATCATCATCATCCAAGCGGTCATCACGTCGAACCGCCCACAAGCGCAGCACCAGGTAGCGGCCTTGGCGGCGCTGGTACTGGCAGTGCTAATGCTAGTGGTGGTGGCGGTGGTGGTGTTGAAGTGGAGAAGGACCTCTTTGCCGCCATACGTGAGCTGGGTCAAGGCACAAATGGATTCTATAATTATTTCCAATAAGTTTTGCTGCTGTCATAGTCTTACCTTCCTTCGGTATGTGTTGGCAGTGTGGTGAATTTCTTTCTACTTTTGTGTGGCTTGTTTGTGTGTGTGTGATGTTAACGCCGTAAGCGTTATTCGTTGCACAGCATAGACGACGGCGTAATGATGTAATAGTGTTGTGGGCGCGTTGCGTGTTGTGCGAAAAATAATCGCGGGCAGTCAGTGCGTGCGTTGGTGGGTTAAAAATATACAAACGCCGTGCTCTAGTGCGTGGTGATGACAATTAACAACATTGCAGTTACATTTAACGTTAATGAGTTATTGTGCTTTTATTTGCATGTGGTACATCCAAAAATCGCCATCTTAGCTAACATTCAGCGGTTAACGTTGACTACAGGCGCTTGTGGTATTTAAAATAATTGCAAAAAAACGGAATGTGACTTTGGTATTTTGTTGTAAATATGATTACTCGGACTTCTTTTTTAGTAAATATGATACTTTCAAAATTCGAAATATTTTTGTTAACCAGAAATATAATGCTCTTGCTAACTTGCCTGTAAATGTACAACAAGATTTAAAACACATTTAGATTTCATTTTTTGTCAAATTAGTACTTTTCAGACACCTAAACTCAAACTATTTTTATTAGCAACTTATAGGTATAAAGCTCTTAACCCCTTTCCTTTAAAAAAAAAAAGACAACATTTATTACACATATTGTAAATTTCAGTTTTAATTTTTACCAAATTAGCATTTCACTGGCACCTAACCTCAAAAAAATTCAGTTAACTGAAAATATAAAATTCTTCCCGCCTTCTCTGTAACTACAATTATTGCAGCTTTATATTTTATGTTTGCCAAACTAACATTTTACTGGCACTTAAACGAAAATTTTTATTTAATCACAAATAGAAAGCTCTTAACACCTTCTCTATAAATGTAATACAAAAACGTTTATTGCACTTTATCTGCACTTAAGATTTTATCATTTTTGAGAAACCTAACCTCAAAATGTTTCCGTTTACCCAAAGAAATTTGATAGCATAAAAAATATTACCTCGAATATCATTGTAGCTGTTCGATCAATCGATTCTTTTTTTTTTTGTTTTTTGTTTTTTTTTTTCCAAATTTTGCTCAAGGAACTGTTTTTTCGTAGTTGCTATTTTGAAGATTTAAATTTTTTCTATGCTTGCTTTAGGCCACTTGCACCATATCAACCTGTCTCATAACATTCTCTGAAAAAAAAAATTTTAATTTCTCAAGAAAAAACTAAATTTCATTGTCTCGCTTGCATTCATCTTCGTTTTTTTATACTTAACCATGTCACTCATGTCATCACCACCTCACCGCCCTCATGGTCCTTCACTTTTGCATAAGCACCTGTCTTCCCGCCTTTTCACACCAGTTTTGCTATAATCTTGTATATTTAATTTTTTTTTTATTATTATCATTAATTTTAAGTTTAGTTTGTCGCTTTTTAAAGAACGCGAGTATTAAGTTATTCCTTAATTTAATTGTAAAGAAAGCCAATATTAGCGTAGAAAACGTGAAATTGTTCGGAAGACATATTTCTATAAATGTGTGCGTGTAAAAATATATAGACTTTTTTTTTAACTTTTTTGAATGATTGAGTTTTTAAGTACATTTCGAAAGTGACTGTACGCAAATACATAGTACTGTTAACTCGGTGGCGCACAGCATCAGACAGGCCATCACTTGGCGCAACGCACTGACGCCTTCGGCATGTTGCAAACACACACCCCGGACGCGCCCATTTATTTACATATAAATATATAAATAATAATGCCTAGTTTATAGTTTAAAATATTATATATATATAAATATATACATTATATACTTGAATGAATAATAATAATAATAACAAAAAAAAAAATTAAAAAAGTGAAAACATTGAGAAAATTGAAGTTGTAGCAAAAGCATGCAATTGTTTCGGAGCTGAGCGCTTCGCGTTGCAGTGAAGAAAGTTAGTCAGAGGCTCTGTAGCCTTTTGCGCTGCTCTTCTTCGCAACGCGATCCACTTATGCGTATTCGCGGCAATGCATGTTGACTTATATATAATGATATATTCATGTGTATATATACGTGCATATATATATATTGATGTATTTATAACTTAATAATTCATCTGAAATATACATAGTAGATATAATAGCGTATATATGTGTATGTATTATATGTGCGATAATTAAGTAAATATTTACATTAATTGAATGCGTTGCGAGCATGCAAACACATGTGCTTACATATGTACGTATGTAAGTCTGTCTTGTTAAAACGTAGGCGTATGGGCGTTACAATCTGAAAGGCGTTGTGCGCTGATTAGTAGAAGGTAGCGCAAGGCTGCGTCAGCGGCGGGGTTGACACTATAATTAGTAAAATAGTCAAAGCGAATTTGTAAAATAGTCAAAGCGTGTTTTCAACTTAAAAATTTTTGATTTTTTGTTTTTTGTGTTAATTTTTGATTTTTCAATAATTCAATTCAATAATTTTTATTTTTTTTTTTTGCTTATAATAAATTTAAAAGTTGCTTCACTTTTTTGTAAATGCAATATGCTGAAAGAACAACAACTTTTTTTATTAAAAGGCATACATATATTTTAGAAAAAACGTAATTTAATTAAAAAAATAATAATTAAAAAAAAATTATTTAAATGAAAAAACCATATAATTTGAACAAATTTTTATCGCATAAAATGTATACAAAAAAATTTGCTAAAATATATGGAGTTCTTACATGAAATCAAATTTTTTAATGAATTAACTTTTAAATTCAATTAATCTTTTAAATTTAATTAATTTTTTAAATTCAATTAATTTTTTTAATTCAGTTAATTTTTTAAAATCAATTAGTTTTTTTTAACTAAATTAAGTTATTTTGTTTGCTATTGAACATAGTAGTATGCGAATCTTAACGAATGGATTATTTTAATTGAATACATTTTTTGAATTAAATCAAGTTAATATTTTAAATCAATTTAATATATTTTGTTTTCTTCAAAAGTAATGTTTTTATTTTTCAAAAATTAAATTTTTTTCCAAAATTAATATGTGGAATTAGTACAAATATCATAATTTTTTTAAGTTAATGTTTTTTCTTAAAAATTAATTTTTTTTCTTCAAAAATTAATATATTTTCTTCAAAAATTAATATATTTTCTTCAAAAATTAATATTTTTTCTTCAAAAATTAATATTTTTTCTTCAAAAATTAATATCTTTATTTTCGAAAATCAATTGTTTTGTTTTTTAAATTCAATACTTTATAATTTTTTTTAAGTGAGACTTAATTTTTTTTTGTTATAATTAATTCTTTATAATTTTTTATTTTTTTTGTCAAAATTAATACTTTAACTTTTGTTTTTGTTTATATACATTATTTTTTGCGCCTGTAAAGTAATTTTAATTCTAATATTTGTTTTTTTTTTTTAATATTTCTTACTGTATTAAATTTTTTTATTACATGTTTAATATATTCCTTTATGATCTCAAGCATATGTATAAACACATTTTTTTTGAGTCCTTTAAGTTAAATTTCACCCAACTACTAACCTCAAATTTTAATTAAAATTAACTTTCTGAAATAAAATTATGAATCAACAAATATTTTATAACCTCAAAAAACGTAAACTTCCTTGTACAGCAAACTTCTAAGTGCTTACCGACTTAACGCCGCACATGCCTTGCCTACCATTCTACGCGTCTAATGCAAGGAGAACACTAATTAAGTAAAGAAATTGCAAAGATCGTCCGATTGTGCATAAAAATTGAAGAAATATGTATTTAATTTATGATTAATTAAATTTTTTTAATGAAAACATAATTTAGTATTTATTTTGAATTAACTTCTCAGCAATTACAAAAAAAACATGTATATGGCATAAAACATAATTTCATAAAAAATAGAAAAATCAAAAAAAATTTAAAAAAAAAATTTAAAAAATGGTGAACTCAAAAGGTTCGAAATTTCTTAGTTGTAGCGCAAACAATTACAAATATTGCATAACTAAAAACATAAACAAAAACAAGAAAAAAACTTTGCATAATATGTATGTATGTATGTAGCAAATAATTTACAAATGCTAAGTGTGTAAAATAAAAAAATTAATATTTAAAATTAAATAATTGATAAGCCTACAAATAGGAGCAACAAAAAATATGAATCTGTATGTACGCGTACAACTAATACTATTTCAAGTACATTAAAATTAAATAAAAACAATAATTGAGTTTTACGTTAAAAATATATGCATATATATATATACATACGTATACATAATATATAAATAAATACATACATATATGTAAGTTTTTAACGTGTCGTCACTTGAATATATAAAGGTAGTTTTAAAGGAAAACAAAAAATTACTGCAAACAAAAAAATGTAAAAGAAAACAAAAAATTAAAACACAGAAAAAAACTGCAAAAACTTATAAATTTAACACTTAAACACAAAAAAAAAAATACAAAAACATAAAACTGCTGTAAAATTTATACATACATATATGATTAAAACTAAGTTTAGCATAAATTTTCATAAACATTTTCAAGCAAGAAAAGCAAAAATAAACATAAAAGTGAAGGAAAACATAATTGCGTAAAAAATTGTATTGAATTATATATAAAAAAAGAATAAATTAAATTGCATTGCAAATTATTGTTTAATTTAAATTTGTAAAAGAAAAACATGTTAGCTACTAACTAGTTACAACAAAAAAACAAAAATCAATAAATTAATACTGAAGACCAAAATCAAGGTTTTTGTATGCTGCAGCGCATATGAAGAAAATTTATATATTTAAATATGAAATTATAACTACTTTTATTGCAAAAAAAAAAGAAAACAAAAAAAAACTATGTTCTATATAAATATAATTATAAATGTACTATTTAATTCATAATTTTTTTATTTTTAAATGTGCAGCGAATTTCGGCCACACACGCTGAACGCTACGTTTTAAGCGTGTACCACACACACATACACACACTAGATATATGCACATAAAACAATTTAATTCTTATAAATATTATATTTACGTTACATATTTACAAATACATACATTTAAACACACACATATATGTATATATATATAGCAATAACACCAACATATGCATTGATTATAATTATTTAAAAAAATATATATATATATATTATATAATTACATAAAATGCACATACAAATATGATTTATTATTTTTTACATTTTTATTGCATATTATTACTATTATTACTCTTATAAAATGCGTCCCTTATTGCTATTTCTTACATTATTCTTAATTCATTAATTAATTATAAAACAAAAAACTCTTATTATTATTAAAAAGTAAAAATACAGCAACTATTTAAAACGATTTTTAAAATTATTGTCATTTGCTTCAAGTAAAAACTAAATAAAAAACTTAAAATATATAAAGTAAACAAAAAAGTGAATATAATAAAACAAAAAATTTTAAAACAAAAAAAAATATGGTTAATGCAAAAAAAATGCGTCTGCATATGGCAGGCTTGGTAGTCATGGATAGTTGAAAGCATTTTGCACAGTGTGCAGTTTTAGTGTTAAATTAAAAAAAAAAGAAACCACTAACTGGTTAAAAAAAATTTCTTCATTTTAAAATTCTTGATTTTTAATTTATAATAAAAGATGATGACGGCAGAGTTTAATTTTGATTGAAATTTTAAGATTTTCATTAGAAATGCGCGATTAAATATTCTTTTTTTAATTTTCATATATGTTCTTTTGAAAAAAAAAAATGATTTTATAATTAGAAGCTTCCGCAGTCAGTTTAATTTTAGAATAGAAATTTTAATCTTGTTTTTAAATTTATAAAAATTAATATTTTTTTTTAATTTTTATGAATTTTATTAAAGAAGAATATAATAATATTTGTTTTTTACAGAATTTGTTTTAAGGCCAATAAATTTCTATTTAATGATCAAGGTTATTAATAATTAATGACAAATAAATTGAATTTTTTTTATTAAAAAACATTTCAACTAAATGCGGCTATTTCAAAAAAATAAAATCAATAATTTTAAACATAAAATCTAAAAAATAATTTAAATAAAATATTTGAAATTAAACCATAAAATAATAATTATACATTAATTTTTTAAGGCTAATAAATTATAATTTTTTTGTTTCAAGGTCAATATTTGATGGCAGATAAATTGAAATACTTTATTTATGTAAAAACATTTCAAACACTAACTACAGCTATTTTTAAAAATCGAATATTTAAATCATAAAATCTAAGCAACCGGTACCAGATTCAATTTAAAAAAAATAAATTTTCAGAAAACAATCTAATTTTTCACATAAAAATCTAATTTTTCAATAAAAAATTTAATTTTGAAAATAAAATTTACTTTTCAAAAAAATTTACTTACCAAAAAAAATTGATTTAAAAAAAATTTGAATATTTAAAAAATCAATTTTTTTTTTCAAAAAAGCAGAAATTTTTTTTAGAAAAGTTCTCACTTAGCAAAATTGTGAATTTAATATTATAGCTGCAGGTGTTAGCTGTTATTTAAGTAAAATATTTCTTTCGATAGAATTTAGTAACAAAAAAACACAAATTACTCTGCTGTCGAAATAATTATGTTAGCTTCTTTAGAAGCTAAAAACAACTTTTAATTCAAACAAGAAGCAGTTTTCAAACACAAAAGAAAGTATATAAATATATTTTATGTAGTCTTAAATGCAGTTATAAAACTTTTTCCAAAGCCGCGTCTTTTCTGTGTAAACGCTACTCTCTGTTATAAAAGATGCTTTTGGAATGCAAATCTTTTAAAGAAAAATGCTTTAGAAAATAATTTAATAACATAAAAGCTAATGCAAATAAAAAAAAAAAACAGAGTGTACATGCAAAAATATTAGAGCAAGTAAAAATATGAATATATATATAATGAAAATGTGTATTGAAAAAAGTAAAATAACAATTATAATATAAAATATTTACTGAAAAGAACAAAAACAAAACAACAAGAATTAAGTATAGCTACAAAATACTATTTATATGGATTTCTGTAATTTTAGTAAAAAATATAATTATAAAAAAATTTAAGCAAAAGATAAAAAAAGTGCGAATACGCAAATAAAAAAAGATCCCACAGGGACAACCAAACACAGAATTTTATATTTCGGGCGATTAAGACTAGCAGACATATGTATGCTTCAAGAAATGAAAAGTCAATTTTATTTTCTATATTCTCTTATTTTATTAAACTTATCATTATAAAGGCGTAAGAAATCTCTTAAACTACGTTTGCACATCATTGAGAAGAAAAAACGATGCACATTGCCTCTAAGCTCTCAAACAGGTATATTTAAGCCCGAGAAGTCCTCCTTCAGCTCATCGTACAAATCTTTGTAGTCTTGATGTTCGCGTACCAACAATGCTACTGTGCCACGTTTTACACCCATAGCAGCACCCAAATCAGCGCGGCTTGGTGTATAAGCGTAGGGAATACCCTTCTCTTCGCAGACGGCTGGCAAGTGACACATAATGTCAATGGGTGTTACGTCGCCAGCAAAAATGCAGATGCTAAAAGACATACAAGTTAAAATATTAGAGAAATTGTAGATATACCCAAATTACAAGCATAATTTTAATAAATGTCTGAATTTTTGCGCACTTTATTCTTGGTAATCACTTACCCGGTTTCACCTTTACGTAAACGTGTTTGTACATCTTTTAAGCCATTACGTAGGAAGGTTTTGTGCTTCATTGCCTTTTTAATAAGTTTATAGCATTTTTTGGCCATTTTACGTGAGGCCATCGGCTGTGAAATAATGTTCACATACTTCAGTTTATCGTCATAACTATCCTCCTCTTTGACCGACACATTTGTTACAGAAACAACAGAGGCATCCTGATCGATAGGTTCACTCTTGACTTTTACCATTTTTATGTTATTTAATTAAGCGTGTTGAAGAAACTAGGATATATATATAAAAATTTTGTCGAATCCGTAAACACGTGAAAAATTGACAAATCAATGTCAATGCGATTTGACAAGTTGAAAGCTAGAATCGTCGCCGTTGTTATAAAATGGAACGGCGCCGAATTTTCTGTGCTTCAGGGTTGCAGAATTTTGTAAATACAAAACAATAAGAAATTATTTTAAAAATGTTAAGCTTTAAATACATCTTCATTACAATGCGCATTACATGTGTAGAAATTTAAAAAAATTTTATATAGCTAATTATATGAGTTGCGTAGGAAATAATGTCTTTATGGTCTGTTTTCGCATATATCTGCTGATTGGTGATATTTCATAATGGCCCTTCGATATTGTTGCGGCAACTCTTTTATCCCTTCTGTCAATAACCGTTCGGTCTGGTTACACTCTTGTCAAACGCAGGGCGCAGGCGAACGACAAAAGTAAAGTAGAGTCACTCGGAGCCAGCCATAAGTGCAGAAAATATACAAAAGAATTCGAATTCAGATTGAAAATTCGTGAGAATCCACATTATACTATTAAAAGTGTACCCGATTAAAACGTGGACGAAATATTAAACAATACGAATTGTTTAATAACAGTGTTTTATAAGTTTTCGCAAACGCAAGAAATTAACTATAGAACAAAATGAGTGCTGGTGGCATGGGAGAGAAAAGAAAATTGTCGTAAGTAGAGAAATTGGAAGTAACAGCCATTGGCTGCGACCGTGGCCGCGGCAGCAAGTTAAGAACAATGTGTTGGGGAAAAAAGTGATTCTTTTCATAAATAAGAATATGACGTTTGTGGGCGGCGACGGCAAAGCAGCTGCAATTTTTTTTAAGGTTTGAATAACTTTAAAAGAGAATTGAAAATAAATACATATGTTTCGAAGTAGCAGCTGCATACCGCAGTTACAGCGGCGTCAACATAAAAGAAATGGCGAAAAGAGAGCAGAGCGCCGCTGTAGCGAACTTTCTTGGCATCGGCGTTGACGCCGACTTTAATTGATTTTCCATACGAATGTGCCGTACTATGTTAGCAGTAGTTGATTGCTGGCAAACTGGCGCTGGGCTGACTGGGTTGTTAAATGGGTGGTCGGGTGGGTGGGCTAACAGTTTGGTTGTTGATGATGGTGCAGATGCGTGTTGCAAATTACAGAAAAAAGAGGAAAACAATCTGAAGGATGCTTTTCTAAATATGAATTACAACAAAAAGCAGGAAGTCATGTGAAGTTTTGTTTGTTTTAGGTAAAGAATATGGTTGGAAATTAAACCCAAAAATTGATAGTTAAAAAGAAAGCAGAGCAATGAAAATAGAATGTGAGGCATGACATGAGTGCTAACTGCAGTAACAATGGGCAACCTTGGTGTTAATGGAAATCGTAACAAATTGAGTCAATTGTAGTGGGGAAAAATGGCATGTTGTGGTCTTCTCACAAGTCTCTTGAAAAAGCGTAGGTATTTGCGCACATAATTGCAGTTATCATTTTCGCTAATGTCGACAAATTTGCACAAAAACTAACTTAATACCGAAATATATTATATGCAGTTTTAGGTTGTTTACTATATATTTTAGGTAACAATTGCGTTTAACTTAAATCCGAAGTTTTGAAGGCATATTGCAAACCAGTTGTTTAAATTTGAAAATGACTTTGGTGTCTTGTTTCTTATCTATTTTATTTCTAATCGTTTTGCAGTGGTTTAGTCATTTCTCAACTATTTGTTTTATTACTTGTTGTTGCTAATAATCGTGTCTACATTATCGCTGTTACATGTACGTTTGTGTAAAAAGTAAAACTAAAATACACGTATTCACGAAAAGATTAACGTCTAAACAATTATTGTACTGTTTCGCCTTATCGCTTTTACAGTGTGCGCATCAAATTGCCAATAGAGTGTGGTAAATAACGTCAAAAACATGCAACAAAATTGTGTTTCTAGCAAAATGCTATATATCGGTGCTATATCGCTATAAAGGTTCTAAACATGCGCAAATATGAATATATACATAGGTACACACTTATGTGTACTGTATGTATGTACATTATAATTTTGTAATGATTTTATTCATCCATGAACGAATTCTTTACATTCGAACATACACATAAACAATCGTGCAAATATATGTGCTCTTTATCTCAGGGGTTTTGTCCACAGCCTTGAACAGTACTTTGGTACTCAAAATCCGCACAGCCTTACGACCTTTGATAAAGTGCGATTAGCTTAACGAAAGCATGGAAGAATGAACTTAGATACATTTAGTTTTTTGATACTTGTAGCTGAATTCAAGTGCACATTGGCTTGCCCTAGTTATTGCATATCATAAAAGTTGTTGACGCAGGTTTAGTATTGTATTTCCACCTGTTGGGTGTTAACTGATTGCAATAAGTTTTTAATGTGATTCAAGCTTTAAAATATAAGTGGCAAATACTGTAACCATTTTTAGATGCTTTGTGTTTCACACGCACCGTTTCGTAGCAGAAGTAAATATGAAATACAGCACCACGTTATGTTCCAAAAATTATTTAGTACACACACATACATACATATGTATATGTATGCATATATTATATGTATACCAAAATCCACATATCGTGCATTAGCAACGCGGCATCCTCTGCAACCATCGACTGCGCTCGTTTCAGTGTCAATGCTACGCACCAAGGTCGTGGACTGGAGGATTAGAGTACGGTAAAAAGGGCGGTACCAGTCATCAATGCCGTCACCAAGGGCTACGCATAGCAAGCGTGTCACTCGAGGGGAAAAACAATTTGTAATTGGCGCTGCTGCTGTCGCCGCGTTTGCTGCTACTGCAGACGCTATTGCAGCTCTTCCGCTGCCGCAATCCTTGAATACAACCGCGAGCAGCGCTAAGCGTCCAATGTGCGCAATGCAATAATTTTCTATGGCGTATATGCACATAATTTTAATATATTTAATAGTAATGCACGCTGTTGTGAAATCCCTTCCCAGCTCAACGATAAGCAAATTTGCTTTGTACGATATTGTTTGCTTTCTATTTAAGTTTTCTTTTTATTTATATGTAAACACGTTTCAAAACATTGTAAATATATACATATATAAATGTACATATGTTTGCGCTGCCGTGAGTCATCGGGGAACTTCACTAAAGTCTATTTGGCAACATACAGATATTTGTGTGTTACATACATAATGTCACAAAAGTTTATGCATTATAGTAAAAGTTAGTGTAAAAAGTATAATTTGTTAGCAATTATATAAAATGCTATAGTAGTTCAATTTGAATAATCTCTACAGAAAATGTAGCATGCCCTTGGACAATAATCCAAGCCAAATTTTGTGAAAATATCTTGTCAAATAAAAAAATTGTACGACTTTGTGGCAAACTAAGTATACCCTGTTTGGCGTATGACAGTTTGACATAAATTAACGATAATAAATACTAATAATGTAAATGATATAACTACGTACTTTCTTTTTTTTTGTTCTTCTAGTTCAATATTTTGCTTCAAGCTGCATGCAATGCATCAATGTAACCAAGTAGTCAAAATTAGTATTATTATACAAAAAAAAAACAAAATGCTCCGTTTTTTTGTGATCATCAAATAGCGCTGTGCATAAAGATAACGTACGCAAGCTTCGAACTATTCTGTGTAAATGTGGTACATAGTAAATATGTATCTTGCGTTTGTATGGTTGCTTTGTGCTGTTTGACGTTATAATTAGCCAATATATCAAATATTTAGCACTGATAAGCGTTGCTAATTAGGCATTAAATTAAAAGGAATTGCACGTTATCGGAACGATAACCTAAGAGTAGTTGCTTAAAAGAAATGTATTTATTTATATAAACGACGTTTCCCTATAAAATAGTTGCACAAGATTATTTATAAATCCGTAACAAATGCATTTGTTGGCGTTTTTCTACACTTTTTAGCTTCTCTGTGGCTATTGCGGTTAGCAAAAGCCGGTCTACCCCTTTACTAGCGTCTCTATATATGTATATTAATATATCAATCATAGCTGATGCTCAACCGCTGCTTACAACTTTCCGTGTGATTCTGTTTTTCTGCCATTCTGCAATGCTTTATTTTACACTTTGTTTACATTGTATTGTATTTTGATCTATGTTTATATATAAATGTATAGATACATACAAAGATGCATACAATTGTATATACCTTTGTAGCTATGCTCGATATGTTTGGGACAGTATGGCCTAACAAAGCCAACGTTATGCTGAAAGTCAAGTGCATGTCGAATTGTAGGCCTTAGTTCGTGGTTTGTAAGTATATGTGTGTGTGGCTTCGTGTATGCAAATATTTGTTTTAATTGATTTTATAAATAGACTGTAACGTTGGCAAGTTATTGCCATGCAGTGGCTAGGGCGTTTTATAGCTTTCAATAAAAAATTTCATAAAATCGTTAATTTAAATTGCGGGGATTTTCGTTTCAAAGCTATAAGATTCTGCTTGAAATTTACATACAGAATATATGTTTCTAAAATTTTTTCAAACAATAATTTACTTTTAAGTTGATAGTTTAAATGCAAAAATTATTTCAATTTATTTTCCATTTTTCAGTACATCGGGCGATTCTCTATATCAAATATTGGGACTTCCTAAAACAGCTACGGCTGATGACATTAAGAAGACTTACAGAAAATTAGCACTTAAATACCATCCAGATAAAAATCCAAATAATACCGATGCCGCCGAGAAAGTAAGTTTTGTGCATGATTTGTAGTTTAAACTTAATATTTAATTTTTAGGTAATTTTCTAGAGTTAGATTTCGAAAATTTCAAAAACAACGTAAAATTCTTTATTTTTATTTTTATAGATATAAGTATATTTTTATTTAGCTAAATATTAAAAGTATTGCGTAGTATTTTTAAAAAATTATAAATATTACACACCAGCAATTTTTCTTAGCTGAATTGGTTATTTTATTGTATATTACCAGTTTACTGCTAAACACTCGTTGTTTCAGTTCACTATAAATAAAGTTTATTGCGCTGAATTGATAGCACTTAGCTTTTTATTGCGCTGAATAAAAGTTGAATGCATCCAATAACATTACTGTTAATGATTTATAAAACAAAAATACAAATTTCTTTGAATTATGCTCTTTTTTGTTGATATTGTATACAAATGATGAGCTGAATTACTTTTAAAGCGCTGAATTGCTGCTAAAAATTTATAAATCAATTTCAAATAGTATTTAGTAAAGTTAAAAGTGGAAATGTAATATTATTACCCCGGCAATAAGCATGTTGCTAGTTGCTGAATTTATTTAGCAATGCATCTCAAAGTATTAAAAATAAAAAAACGAGTTGAAAACACTAACTTAAGCTGCGCTGAATAAACGTCAAGTTAATAATTTTGCTTGCATAAATTTATGTTGGGTCTTTTTAAGTTCTTATACGTTTTTTTTTGGCATAGCTAATCAAATTGCATGCGCTGAATACCAATTTTGTGCGCTGAATAAGAGTCAAGTATCTAATTTCGGTTGACACTAAATATTGATTTATTAAAAACCACTTTTAATTTATTTGAAACTAATACAATTAGTTGATGCATGATAACATACATAAACATGCATGCCCATTGAAATTTGAAGTTTGTAAATAGCGCTGAATGGCGTTTTTTGCTTGCATAAACTTATGTTGAATCTGAATAAGTTCTTATACGTTACTTTTAAATATAGTTAATCAAATAGCATTGCGCTGAATACAAGTGAAGTCTCAAATATCAATTCATACTAAATAGTAAATCACAATTCAGAACAAAATATTGCGGTGGTAATTAATATGAGTGAAACAAAATGTATATGAAAGATTAATTTCGCATAGTATCAATATTTAATATTGGCTTCAGCTGATAACTACACTATTCATTTACATGCACTTGCGAAATAAATTTCTCTAAGCTAGATTTAAATTATGAGGCAATTGAAATTCGTTCGCTGATTAATAGTTGTTTATATATGGTATGTGGTAAACAAAGCTACATAGTATATTCATTTAAAAAATAATTTTTTTTACTCAGAAACCTTTTTCTATATTTTTTTTATTTGTATTGCATAAATATTAATTTCACTTTTCTACGTTTTCTTCGCAGTTCAAGGAAGTGAATCGCGCTCATTCTATATTGAGCGATCAGACGAAACGTAATATTTACGATAATTATGGTTCATTGGGTCTCTACATTGCCGAACAATTCGGTGAGGAGAATGTGAACGCTTACTTTGTGGTGACATCGCCGGCGGTGAAGGTGCGACATAATAAAACAAAGAGGATATTTCTTAAAAAGAAAATAAAAATAATATAAAATAAGTACTTGCAGTGCTCAAAAATGTTAATTATATACTTTTTCCGTGTTAAAATTTTTTTTTTTTATTTTTTAAACTACTAAAATATTAAACTTAACTAAAATATTTTTTTAATAACAATTTTTTTCTATTTTTTTTCTTCATTTATTTTAAATTTTTTTAATATTTTTTGAAATTTTTTAAATATTTTTTTAAAATTATATTTTTTATAATTTTATATTTTTTGAGTTAAAACCATGTTTTTGTTGTAAAATTTTTTTATTTGTTTTTTTTTTTTATTTATATTTTTTTTTATTTATATTTTTATATATATTTTTTTATTTGTTTTTTTTTATTTTATTTCTCTTTTTATTATTTTAAATTTTTTTCTTTTTAACAAAATGTCATGACACTTGCGTTAAAAATATTTTTTTGTACTGCAGATAATTTCATATTTATTTTTAAATGTTCAAAAAATAAATATATTTCTTATATTTTTACTTAACACAAATACTCTCTCTTGCAGGCGCTTGTTATTTGCTGCACTATTTTGACAGGCTGTTGCTGTTGCTGCTGCTGTTGTTGTTGCTGCAACTTCTGTTGTGGCAAATTCAAGCCACCAGCGAACGAGTCGCACGATCAGTATGCACATTTGAATGTAAGTACCGAAAACTAAATGTAGTCTGTAAAATTGTATATTTTTTATGTTAGTGCTTCCTTTTCGCATTCCTCACACTTATACTTTGCTCTAATACGGCTGGTGTTTTGTGAAAAAGTGTGTTAGCAATTTAAGGAATTTTAAGACAAAAACTAAATTTATGTGTACACCAAAATAAAAAAAAATGACTGCAAGTGAAAAAGTGTTAGTAATTACTGCAGACACAAAGCTTATTCTCTCACTCGCTCGCAATGCAGAACTCTCCCATTTTTGGCGTGTTAGCCGCTAACACACAAGTCGCTCATAAAACCAACATTTGCACGTTTTGTTCTTGTACTGGCAAAAAACATATCGCATCTGCATGCCACGTGCATATACTAACCTCAATTTTTATTAGCTATTTCATATACATTTCATTCCTCTACTGTGTATTTTTTGTGATATCAAATGTGCCAAGAGACTTTGGCCACACAGCACAATTGCAGCTTAACAGGCACTATTTTCAGCTGCTTAATATAAATTACTGTCTGTCCCCAAAACTCCATCTCTTCACTGCTTTTGCTGATACCAATTGTTGATAGTTTCGCCGCAACTATGTTCACACCTAAACGTTTGATGATTTTTGTGGTGCTTCTGCGCTCTTCACTTCCAACTTTCATGCCATTGAATTGTAATTACTCTTATTTCCGTTTTATTTCATATTTCAAAAAGTGAATAAAATTATTTTATAAAATTTTCATCATTTGCTGATTTTGTTTTGAAGATTACTCTATGATTTTGCATGCACTTTTATAAAAAAAAAAACTTATGTAGTTGTGTAGCTGCTTCGCAAGCAATTAATTTTTATACTAAACTACACTTGAACTCGCGTGTTTGTACGCCTAATATCCCCCCACACTAGAAGCGTTGTGCTCTAAAGGCCTTAAAATGCGGCTGCTGGAGGTAAGTACACACAGGATCCCTGTTATTATTATCATTTTTAATTACTTTTAAATTTTCACTCAGTAGTGTAAATATATATAGAAATATTTTGCGTTCACTGTAGGTTTTTCAGCGCATTCTGGGTGCTGTCGCTACCTTTTGAAGGTAATCACAAAATTTTGCGATTATTTGAAAGGAAATTTCTGAGTTTAAGCTAGAACTTTTCGTTGGTTGCATTTCTGTTCTCATTAAAAGGTTTCGAAATGAATTAAAAATATGTATAAAACTGAAAAAATTTGCATAATTTGAGTTTAATTTAGTAAGTGTTTATAAGCGTTCATCATTCATATTTTTTTCTCGTATATATTTGCCGCATTCGAGTGTTTCGAACTTGATATTCTTCAATTTCCATCCAAAATAGCGTTATATATGTTGCCATGGAGCCGTGGCTGCTTTATGGCGCCTAAAACTATATTATGCTTTTTTATTGAAAGCACATTTTAAAACGAAAATTTCTCGAAATATTTTGGGAGAAATATTACAAATCTAATTTGAACTAAAATCTTCTTATACAACGCAGAACATTTTCGAAGTTAATAAAATATGGCTATGGATAATTCCATATACTTTTGTGCTATGTAATAGTTAAAAAATATAAATTTGCACCAAATAGTAATAGGCTGTATATATGCCAGATTTTAGGCACAAATAACATTGTTTAATTTTCGAAATTATAATATTAAGGAAACAATGAGCTCAGGTTAGCCTTAAGTATCAACATAATATGCTTAAATTTGCACTTAACTAGTTTAAGTATAGTTTGCTAGACAATTTTCGAAATTCGCACATTTAATTTTTATATTGAAATTCTTGCATTATAAGTTTCGAAATTCGAACATATAATTTTAATTTTGAAATTCCTAATAGTTTATATTTTTACACGGTTTCGTTTCAGTAAGTTGCTAAAATTTAATTCGAAATATTTTTTTTCGTAAATATTCAGATTCAGATTTGCTAATTAAAAATGAAAATTCTAAAAAAAAGTTTTCGAACATCCCATATTTTTAGCTAATTTTTTTTTTTATCAGAATAAGTAATAATTTATTAAATTTATAAAAAAAATTGAAATTAAATTGGTTTTCGTTGATTATCTGACTTAAATGAGGCTTTTAAGCTTTTTTTTCCAAGGTACATTTTTCGAACATAACTACTTTACTGCAAAATTTGAATTCATCGATTTTTAAATTAAATAATATAAGGCAATTTTGAAATTCTTATACAAATTATGTTTTAATAACTTGTTTTCCAAAATTCGAAAAATTGTATATTTTTTGTAAGATTTGTGGATTTTAATAAATTTATTTTATTGTTATTTATTTTTTTTTAGATTTTTTGTTTTTATTTATTGATTTTATAAATTGTTTTTTATTTTTAATTGTTTATTTTTTTATTCATTTTAACTTTTAAATACCGGAGTTATATTTGTTTTTAAATTTCGATATTAGAATTAAAGAAAATTATTATTATGAATTTAGTAGTTTATTGTATTCCAAATGCTTTTTTTTTAGTAAATTTAGCATAATTATTGTCAAATATCACGCACGTTTTACAAAATATTAAACCACTTGTTCATTACTTCAAAAACAAACAAATATTTTATAAAATAATACATACAACATATGTTTTTAAGTTTTTTTTTATTTCTGCTTAAATTTTTAAGAATTAAATTCCATTATCTCAAAAAACTGACAAAAACTTCCATAAAATATTAAATACATAAAAATTATATTTTTTAATACATACATACATACATATATACATATTCATATGTATGTATATCTTTTTTTTATTTTAAAGTTTTTCTAATATAAAAAAATACCTACAAATTAAACAAAAAATCCATAAAATATGACATAAAAAATATATTTTTTAATTTTTTTTTTAATTTCCCCTTAATTTTATTTTTTTTAATATTTAATACCGTTGCCATAAAATTTTTTTTAAAAATATCATATTTATAAAAATTACATATCTAATATAATTTGCACTACAACAATTTCTACACTTTCGAAAATGTGAGAACTCACAGCACTTTACGAAAATCATCAACTCACTTTTAGGTTGCGTTACTATCTTCGCACATTTGAAATCCAAAAGACCCCGAAAAAGTAAAAATATGCAAATAAAAAGCATTGCATTGGCGCTTGCTTTTTCTTGCACTCAACAAAAGCAAAAACAACCTTATTTAACCACTTCAAGTATTGCTCAATTTTGCAAACCAAAAATTGTCTCCTGTCAAAATTTGCTCATCAACACCGCTTTTCACTTTTAATAACAATTTTCACTTTGCCATCGTTCCGAGCATTTACTTTTTTTTCTTATGTTTAATTTTTTTTAAATTAAATATTTTTCACTTTGTAAATGACCTGCTTCAAGCTGAGCTTTACTTTCTTGCTCGGTTTCGATTCGCTGTATTTGTTGCTGATTTCTTAATTTCTACCTTCTAACGCTTGACAACCCTACATCACTATTTCACTGCCACAAAACCTAACCTATACACCCACTTACCGCTCATTCACCACTCCTGGTCACTCACTGCTACTACTTTTCATCAAATTACTTTGTTTTCTCTATGAACTGGTGGTCACTTCTTATATTAATATGGTTTTTATTTATTGTATAATTATTATTAGTATTATTGTATTATTATTATTCGTTTACCCTCGTTCGTTTATTTTATTGTTTTTTTTTTGGCTCATACTCAACTTACTCGTAAAAAATACGTTCGATTTGATTTGAAAACTCATGTTGTAGCGTGGCGAAGGGGATAGAGAGCCTAGTGATAATTCAACAAATAGGATACAGTCTACAGCGCATAATGTAAGTAACTCAAATTAAAAAAAAATGCATAATAAATTTTGTAAAAAATTTTGTAGTTATTTGTTTCTCAATCCTCTAATTGCCTAAACTAAATATTTTTATTCTCTATTTTTTGTTGTCTGTTTGGCTGCGCATTAGCTTTTGCCAAATTTTTAATTTTCGCCTTTTTGCTTTTAATTTAATATTTTTTTTTTACTGTTAGCTTTGTTTGATGTGGGGCTGCATTTGTATGGTGTATTCATAACTGTTTCTCTCTTCATTAGACACTTATACAATACTAACTATATACACATGTAGCAGTATTTATTACACATTATTTATTGTCGTGACGCTGTTATCATTAACTATCTGTTTTACCTTGTTACAAACTAATATTACTTTTTTTTAAATATCTATGGCATTACACTAACAAAATTTTGTTCGAAATAATGGGTCGTAAAATAGACAGACCTCAATGATTCCATGATGGTTTTATTGCTCATGCAATAAATTCTGACTTGCGTATTAAAAAGTCTTAGAAGTATTTTTTTTTTTTAGAAAATACTCAGAAAAAAGTTAGTTAATTTGGTTATTTTTTTAAAAATATTACTAACTGTTTTATAGAATTTTCAGACCAAATTAGCTTTTAAAAATCATTTTTTTTTTCAGTTAACTTAGGTTAAAAAAATTTTAAAACTAAAGTTAAGTTAGCAGATGTATTTTTTCCAAAAAGTTAGGATAGAAAATTCTTAATAAATTTTACTAACGGTCCTTTATGAAATTTTCAGCAACAATTGGGTTAGAGAATGAGTTTTTTTTTTAAAAGTTTGGTTAGAATGTTCTTAAAATATTTTGCGAACTATTTTTTTAATAGAAACTTTAAACAAAGTTGGGTTGCGAAAAGTAATTATGTCAAAAAAGTTAGATTGAGACATTTTTAAAAATATTTATCAATTCAAAAAGTTAGGTTAAAAAATTCTTTAAAATTTTTTTAACGGTTCCTTATAAATATCTCATAAAGTTATGTGAAAAGATAAATTTTTTCAAAGAAATTTGGTTTGAAAACTCTTAATAAATTTAACTAACAGTCCTTTATAAAAATGTCAGCAAAAGTTAGGTTAGAAAATTCTTTAAACATTTTTCAGCTGTTCTTAAAATTTTATTTATTTTTTAATTTTAGTAAAACTTAGTTTAGAAGATGAATTTTTTCAAAAAATTTTAGTTAGAAAATTCTTAAATTATTTTGCCAACAATTTTTTTATGGATATTTCAAACAAATTTTGATTACGAAAAGTATTTTCTTCAAAAAAGTTAGCAAACTTTTCAAATATTTTTATAAGGTTTATCACTGAAATGTAAGACACAGTTATGTAGGTTAGAAATTCAATATATAACATTAACTAAAAAAATTTTTTGTTGCAACAGTAACAGATTTCTTTCCATAAATTTTGAAACAGCAAGCTCAAATTTAGCGAAATTTACTTTTGTGGCGTCAAACTAGCGTTGAGAACAAATTTTTCCCAAATGATTTACCATTAATTACAAACACATTCAACCACACATAAACAGTTATGTATCAGCTGCTTGTTTTGCTTGAAACATTTTACTTTCTTTAAATACTGTCTATTCTTTTCTGGTTTCCTTTATTTATTTGTCTCCTCATTTCTCAATTTTATTGCTCGTTTAGTTTTTGTCATTCTGTTTTAAATATCTCAATTTATATTTTGGTGTAAACTAAATTTATGTTTTATACTTTGTTTTTTTTTTTTTTGATTACACTTAGCCAAATCAGCAACCGTAATGGATCCAAAAATGCGGGATTTCAATTATAAAATTATTGTATTTGTGCCAAGAAAATTATGAATAAAATATAAATTCCATTATGAATAAAAAATATATACTTAAGTATATTTAATTGAGCAAAACAAAATTAATTATCGGCAATTTGATTTTATATCAAGCATATTATAAAGGTGAGATGCGGCTTTAGGTATTTGTAGTAATCATATTAATGTTAAAAATCAGATTATAATTTTTATATATAATAAATTTTAGCAAATTACATATATCATGTTTGGCAATTAAAAGTCAACAAAGATTTTTAGTAGTGTTAAGAGATTATTTTGATATTCTCTATAGTTCTAAATTCACACATAAAAGATAACCAAACGAAATCCATTATACTGTTTGCAGTTTTTTCTTTGCTTTGCTAATTGTTTATTAAAAACTTGTGAAGAGGTTTTTGCATTATGTTTTTTTTTTTATTAAATTCTTACGTTAATTTTTTAATTTTTTAAATTTTTGCATTTATCTATTTTTCAGTTTTTGTATTAATTTTTCTTTAACAATCATTACAAATAAATATAAATGTAAATCAGCATTTCTTCGTTAGCATTACGAAATGAAAGCTTTTTACTTTTATTTAAATATTTTTGTCAATTATTTTTTATTAATATTTTTAAGTTCTGTAGTTCTTAAGTTCTATTATTTTTTAAATGTCTATATTTTGAAATTAAGTTTTCTAAATTAGATTTATTATTCTTTAATTCAATTTTGTTTGTAGTGTTAACACATTATCAAACTTCTAATAATAAATTATAAAACGAATTGAAAACATTTGGTTTAAATTTTTTGCTTTTTTTAATTTTTTTTTAGTTCTTTTTTTAATTTTTTTTTTAGTTCTTTTTTTAATTTTTTTTTTACTTTTTATATTTTGTTTTTACTGGTTATATTTTTTTTTACTTTTTTGTGGTTTTGTATTTTTTATATACTCTTTTTTCCTTTTTTATTCTTCTTTATTTTTTTAAATTTTTGTTTTAGTTTTTTATATTTGTTTACTGTTTTATTTCTGTTTTTTTAATTTTTTATCTTTTTAAACCTTTTTTTTTCGAAGTAAAAATATTTTTCAGTATTATAAACTTGATTGTTTGTGATAGAAAATAATAAAGTGTTCGTAAATAAGTTTTATATTAATTATCAGGCTAAAAACAGCGCTACATTTCATCAATAAATCTAAAAAAAAACACTTGGGAGATATTAATGCATGTTTCTTACTATAAAGTTCTCTTTTTGTAGTATCTTTGGTCCCAAATAACTTTTAGGTAAATATATTTTGAGAAGTCTACCAACATTTAATATGCTTACGTATGGACGCAAAATGCGAAGTGTGTTCAGAAAATACCGGAATATGTAGTATATGGGATAAGGCACACGTTTTGAGCGCCTAAAAATATGCTACATTTCTCAATATTGTTATGGCAGTTAAAGAGCTTAGTGATATTAATCGTTAAATTCTAAACTACATTATAAATGATATTAAGAAAAATATTTTTTGATGAATCTACCTATGTATAATACGCACGTATATAACGCCTAAAAGTATGCTACATTTTTAAACATTGCATATGCAATTAAAGAGCTTGTTGATATTAACGTCTATTTTCTTGATAATGTCCGCGTACACCCTTGAACAAATGAATAACATACTTGTTCTATATATAGATATATTCGAATATTCGATATTGAAATGAATTGAGTTTTCGTATTTATACTTCTATTCTTGTTTTGGTATTGATTTACATATTTCGATGACTAAAGAATTAGAAGTGGTTATATCTGTTTTCTTCGTTTTCGAATAGAAAAAAGGGCGCCACAAATTTTTTTCGATTTCGAATTGTTAAAAACCATGCCACAAATTTTTTTTCTCAATTTCGAAAATTTTTAACTATCGTGGCGTACCTCTAAATGTTCTAAATTTGAAATAGAAAATAAGCCGCGTGCGAAAATAATTTTTTTTTTCGAAAAATTTATTCGATTTAAGTAACAGGGCGTACCTCTAAATGTTAGATATCTGTAAATTTTTGGTGATAAACTAAAATGAAATTATTTATTAATTATTTTTAAAAATTAAAATATTAATATTTCTCCCTAAATTTTTAATATTTTTTCGTAATAAAAATAAAATACAAATTTCTTTTGGTTATTTTTGAAAATTCAAACATTAATTTTTTTCTTTCAATTTTGAGAGATTGGAATGTGTATGATTTGTTGTTGAGCTCTTTTCAATATTTTCTGTCTGTATACATACCTACATAAATGCATAGATACATACATACATATCATATATACTAACTTAAAATCTTTCGCAGTCTTTCAGCTACATTGGTTCTCTATTCATAATTAATATTTAATTCTAATATTAATTTCCAACATTCTTCATTACCCCCTTTCCACACTATAAATAATAATAACTGTATCTTATATTTGTTAGTAGCATATAGCTAACCAACTACGTTTTCTTCTTTCCTTTTCGTACATTCGCAGGAGGACGCTGATTTGGATGATGTAAATTTGGGCGGCGGTTCCAATAATCAACAATCCGGCCTGGGCGGTGCTGGTGGCCAACAGCAGCCGGTGTTCGCGATGCCACCGCCACCACAAGCCGCCGGCGCCACTGGCGTGAATCCATTCACGGGCGCACCGGTTGCCGCTGCAACAGAGAATACATCGCTCAACGCTACAGAACAGCCGACATATACGCCAGGTATATAAGACAAATAAAAACCAAAACTATTTTAGAGTTTAAACTACTAAAAAGAGATATATAAAATATAACAAACAACAACAAAAAAAAAAATTAAATAAAAATAACTATAATGAAGATTTAAAACGAAAGAAATGTGCAGAAAACATATACATAAATAAATATATATATAAATAACAATGATGCTGCTACTTCGAACTTGTTGAAGATGTTGCTAATTTATAACGTTAATATGGTAAATAATTACGTTAACTACAAGGCTACAAACTTGCATACATATATTTGCGAACAATTAATATTAATGTAATTTGTTTGTTGGCGATAGAGAGGAGTACGCGGGAAAGCAAAGCAGAAAAAGCGTAACACGCCTGCGCAGAATAGAAGGAAATCAGTCAGTATGCAAAAAAAAATATGCAAAAGCAACAAAAAATATTAAAATGTGTAATTAATTGCTCCGCCGTTTCCTTTTTGCTCCTTTTGTAACAGCTCACTCACTCCCACACACACACACTAATATGCATAACAACAAATTATATTACTAACTGTACTTATTTATACACACATATTTAAATGCAAATAGGTAAATACATATGTACTTAATTACCTTCCTATTGTATGTACATGAGTAGGTATATAATATTCTATGGCTGCATTAAAAAAAAAAGAAAAAAATTGTATTCATATTTGTTGTAGTTTAAGATTATTAAATAAATTTAAAATAAATTAAATTCCATTTAAAAAAAAACAACAACAATTATTGGTGTGAAGATTTTTGGTTTTGTTTTTGCATAAAATTCATGTTCATCTGCAAAGGGCACATAAACTACAAGCCTTAAGGACCAACGAACTAAAACTATTTCAACTTAGCTAACAAGAAATGCAACTAATACATACATATACGTACACACACATTTATATATAACTGTTTCATAGTTACGCTTGAAAATACTTAAATTTAGCTTGTTCATTGTTTGTGCGTGTGTTATCTTGGTAAATTTGTACCGTTTCGAAAGTTATTATTAATAGTCTAACTGTACTTTAGTCTAGTATAACTGGAAATTTCATGAAATTTCGCATACTCATGTCTAGCCTAATATTTTTGCAGCTCAAGTATATTTATAATTATTTAAATATTTTTAAAATAAAGCAAAATTTCTTTCAACACTTTTTTTGAGATGTGGACCTAACCTAAAAATAATAATTATGTGCAAAATATATAAAAAAGTTTAATTTCGAGTCAAAATTTGTTAATTATTATTAATAAATAATCAAAAAAATGATCGCTCTATCGTTTAAAATTGATAATCATATTATTCGAAAATTTTTAAATTCAAAACAAACTATGGATCTTTAAAATTTAAATTTATAATATTCGTAAATTTTAAATATTCAAATAAATTGGTATGAACCTTTAAATTGAAATGCGTATTGTGTGAAAATTTTTAAAATTCAAATAAATTGTATGGACCTTTAAAATTGAAATTCATAATATTCGAAAGTTTTTTAAGTTCAAATAAACTGTATGGAACTTAAAAATTATAATGTTCAAAATTTTTAAAATTCAAATAAACTGTATGGACTTTTAATCTAGAACATCATAATTTTCGAAAAATTTTAAAATTCAAATCTTTAGTGGAGATGTCTATCAAATCACCGAATACTACAAAAGAGAAGAGATCAAATAAATTTTTAATCTTTTAAATATTTATCAAAGCACCCTATTAAAGGTTGTAGCAAATTTATTTTTTTTACCATTTAACGATTATTATATAAAATACAACATTAAATAAGAATTTATCATACATAGATGTAACCAACAAAATTTTTTTTTAATAATACACCACACATGTAACATTACTTGTCAAGTTTTTGCGTTGCCGTGGAACGCTAAATATTTAGATTTTATTCATGACATTTTTTTGTAATAAATCATCGGTTCATGCGAAATGTATATGTTAAGTGAAATCAATTTTATTTCACGTGTAAGCTATTTGTAAATGCTGCGTATACAAAATTTTCAAAAAAAATCATAAATTTCTAACATTTTTAATAAAGTACATATGTGCGCATTTTATACTAATAGTGTCGCTTTATCATTGGTTATTCATTTCTTATTAAAGGAACATTTTGGCAGAACGGCTTGCAATAGCACTTTATCCGAAATTTAACAAAACTTGTTAGGTGTGCGCGAAATGAATTTCGAAAACTTAGGAAATACAGTTTTAGCAAAATTTCGGAGTTTCTTTTATTCCTATGTCAATATTGATGCTGACTATTGTAGTATTTGAATGTTTCGAAATTTTCGAAGTTTCAAAAATTTTGAATTTTGCTCTCGAAAATTAATCTAAACACAAAAATGTGAAAATTAAGCTCTAAAATATACTCAATTCCACAATTATCGAAATTCGAAATGGAAATTTTCTGTTTATTTACAAAAAGAAGGTGAATCCGAAGATTATGCGAGTAGTAAGCGATAATTTTTAGATATAAGTGAGCATTTTTTAGCGTGAATTTCGGTGAATAATTTGTATGCAAAGTTGAAAGTTAATTGAAAAATTATGCCAAAACACAATTATCGATTGTTTTCGAAATTGGATAACACTTTATGTAGACAAGTTGATTAATCTTCCGTAATTATAGACGTTATTTTCTTAGTTTAGTAGTGATCATAAATAATATTTTCGAAAGTTATATTTTTGATACTTAATTTTGAAAAAAATTAAAATTTCGAAAAAAAACAATAAGTGTGAAATATAGCATACTCACTTGTTTAGCGAAAAATTAAAAGTATAAATTTTTTTTATTAACATACAATTTTTTTGAGTTAAAATATTTATACTTTTTTATTAAAAAATTAATTTTCCTTCTTGAAATTAAAATATTAATTTTTTGTATTGAAATATTAATTTTTCTACTTTCAAAGTTATAAAAAATCTTTGGTTTTAAATAATTTTAATTATGTATCATCTCATTCATATTCGAATATGCAACAAAATTGAATTTCGGTAAAATATCCTAACTCAACTTAGCACTTGTGTGTCTTATGGAAGTTATACACACTCGTTTGTATACCCATATGTATATGTATATATATATGCATACGTATCTTATTTTTTATGTATATTAGTCTATATACATTTCAATACAGAGATAATACTATTATACTAATTATTAATTATTATACAAAATTGAAATTTCTAAAATCTGCTAAATCGGGGTGGCTACTCTACATATTTCTTTTGCCGCTTAATTATTTCAAAACATATTTATGTAATTCATCTAATTTATATTTTTCTTTTAGATATGGTACACCAAAAATATTAGACGCATTCAGCAACAAAAACAAAACAATCAGTTATCAGAAATAATTTGCGCAAATCAAGCTTCATAACAGCTGACGTCCATCAACTTTACACATTTATTTAAAAACACATTTTTTTGCCAAATGCATATAAATACCGCAAAGCTAAAAGAACACACAAAATTATTTCTTCTTATTAATAAAGCACATTGTGCACTTCATTTTACATATAAACGTACATATGTGTAAATTACCTTAAATTGTATTGTGATTTTCGAACTACATAATTTTCCTTTTATTTTGCTATTTTATTTAATTATATTTTTAAAATATGGAAAACGATTAATTTATACAAAACCAAATATTTAGTGGACATATTTAAGCAAACATTGAGGCAATTAAGTGATTAGGTTACAAAAATGCCTAGAAGCATGCGTAAATGGTGTTCGAAAATGTAAAAATTGCGTAAAAAGATTTTTCGAACACAGAATTATTTGATTGCATTGTAGTTACCGCATATTTACAACTATTTTTCCATTATATCTATTAGTTGTAGTGCAGCTTTGTTTAATTATTTCAAATCAATTGCGAAAATAGTTGTAGACACACAGTTATACTTGTACCCACACATATGTATATTAAATTATTGTAATTTAATTTGAAAATTTTTTGAAGCAGTAGTTAAATAACATTTTTCGAAAATTTGAACATAAATTTTTCGAAATGCGAATTCTGAAATTTTCGAACTAAAATTGTTAAATTTTATTTTTGTATTCTTGTGCTTTTTTCGTTTTAAAACATTAAAATATTGCCATATTTGCATAATATTTTCTTAGTTTAATAATATTAATAAATTTAATATATTAATATTTTCGAAATTTAAATTCTGAAATTTTCGCACCAAAAATTTTGTTTTTAATTTTTATATTCTTCTGCTTTTTTCGTTTTCAAAAATTTGCAGACAAATTTTTGCTTACCTTTCAATACAGCATCGACATTCATATAAAATAATTATGTAATAATACAATTATTAATTCTACACATTCTTAAATATATGATCAGTAAAAGACAATGCGTTGTGTGCTGCTTCTTTCATTAAATATATACATACATACTTATATTTATATATACTATATGTATACATTTATATTTTTTTCTATAGGTACGTTATAAGTAACATTTTCTGTGTCACTTTTTCGCAAATTCGCTTTACGTAGTTGAAAAAATGAGTTTTAAAAAATTATTATATGCAAAGTATTAAAATTTAATTTAATTAAAAAATATTGATTAGTAGACCATTTTTAAAATTGATTTATAAAATTTAAAATATTGTAGAAAAAAGCCATATAAAAGCTTTTAAAGTGACTTTAAAAATTATTTAACATTTTTCTCAAACCAAAAAACAAAATAATAATAATTATCCAAAATAAAGTAAAATAAAAAATAAATACATAAAAAATACAGTAATTTTAATTTTTAAGTGGAATAGAAAGCTGAACATTTTTTATGTGTATACAAATTTCAAAATAAAAAATTTAGTTTCTAAAAATATTTTCTATTAAAAAAATTTATTTAACAAAAACATATATTTTAAATGATTTTGCTTAAATCAAAATATTATTCTATACGTTTTTTTATATTCATTTAATATGTGTTTTCTCGCATTCTACTATAAATTCGATTTTTTTTATTATATGTAAATTCACTTTTCCACACATATTTTTTCATACAATTAACAAAATAAAAAAAAGCACTTACATTTTTAAATTTTCAAGTATAAAATTTTCAGAGAAATACACTATAGAAATTTTGAGACAACATTAACAGTCAAGCGTTAAAAAAAAATAAATGCAAAATAATAACAAAAAAACATTTTTTACTATATTAAATTTTTTTTATATAATTTTTATGTTAAAAGTTTTATGATTCCATTATATAAAATTTTTTTATGAATAAATAAAAAAGTTATTTTATTTTTAACGGTATTTTTTAGTATCTTGAAAAATTTATTTGCATTCAATAATAAAATTTTGAAATATTTAAAATTTTTGAAAGAAATTCATTTAAAAAATTTAAAAAAATCGACACTTGATCAATTCAATGCATACAAATCAAATTTCCTTGCTATAAACTAGCATAATTGTATTGTATATAAAAGTAATTGAATATGTATACAAAAACAAAAACTACAAAAATTAAAAATATATTTAAAAAATTGCAAGCAGTAGTTTATAATACAGCAACTTTAATATGAAATAAAATTAACTACTTTAGAAAATAAAATTAAGAAAAAAAAAATATTAAAAAAACAACAACAATATTTTATGTTTAGTAACTACAATGAATGCTGACGTTAATGTTATATAAACCAAAATACGATGAAATCCATTAAATGATATTCCAATGAACTACATACACAAATACATACAAACATATACTTATATACATACATACATATTTTATGATAATATTTACTTAAAGTAATATCTAATATAATAAAACAGTGCTATACTATGTAAATGACATACCCACACACATATTTGAAGTTAATTTGATTCAATACAATAAAATTCATAAGATAATAAAAAAAAATTAAAATTTGATAAAAAAAATGTATCATCCATATGGCAACATTTTGTAGTTTTTGCAAGGAAAATGAGAAAAATATGCAAAAAATAGTTTGCATTACACCGTTATGTTGTTAGTGTAGAGCTTTTGGGCATTTGAAACGATTCTACAGTTTTACACTAAAAGAAAAACTTTGTACAAACGGTTGTAAGGAACTAAGAACCGATCTCAAGAAAATTTTCGCTAACCAAAATGGAATACAATTGAGGAAAGTGAGTTGAAAAACTTGCAGTTAGCAACTAAACTTTTTAAAATTTCGTTTTTAACCCTAGATCAAACTGTAAAAACGCTAATAATGAAATCGTGCATGTAAGTACACTAGCATACTATAATAACGGTTAACTGTTATTTCACGAACTAATTTGTAAAAAAAAAAACCAAAACTACAGTTGATTTCCAGAATAGTATTAAAATAGTTCTCAAAAAATATTAAAAATAAAAAGATTTATCCAATTCCTTAACAGTACGAAGGGTGTAAACACATTCAAGCAAACACAATATTTTATATTTTAAATAGATAGCCTAAAAAATATAGAAATATTAGACCTTGAGTGAACCTTGTGCAATATATTCATGTATACTAGCATATAAAAATTACTATAATTTTTTGAACCATCTTGAAAAACGTTTTTCAGCCAACAAAATTTCAAAAAGAAAAAAAACCACAAATAATATTAATTGCGTAGCGCACGTCCAATGGGTTCAGAAAATTGTACCTAACTATAGTACAGTCTAAGGAAAAAATTTTGAACAGTATCTACTTTAATTGCTGAACAGACTAAAATTTATTAATATGTATGATTGATACATAAAAAAGCCTGGCATTTTATTTTGTTTTTTAAAAATTTGTATATTTTTTAAATTTTGATCAGTTTTAGTTTTAAAAATTTTTATATTATTTTGAACTCAAAACAAGGATTTATGACTTAAATTATTTTTATTTGATATATTACTATTTTTTTTGATTTTTTATATTATTATTAATTTTCCTTTTTTTTAAATTTTTTTATAATAATTTGAATATAAAAAAAAACTAAAAAAATTTTTTTTTTAATATTTAATTGTTTCAATTTCTTTTTTCATTTTTTTAAATTTAATAATTAATAATTTAATTTTTTTAGTTTTTAAACTTTGATTTTTTAATTTTTAATTCTATTTTTGTTCCAAAACTTTGGTTATTAGGCCTACCAAAAAATTAAAAATAATTCGTTTGTTATTGTAGTATTTATTATTGCATAAAAGACCTGGTCTTTTTTGTAAAGTTTTTAAATGTTAAATTTTTGTATGTTTTAGTTTTTTTGTTATATTTTTTCAATTTATTTTTAGTTTTCTAGTATTTTGTTTTTTTTATGATTGCTTAAAGAAAAAAATTAGCGTGTTTTAAATTTTATTATTTATTATTATTATTGATCGAATGCTGTTAATTCAATTAATTTTTTTTAAGTAATTTTTTATAGACTTTATTTATGTTAAATTGTATTATAAAATATTTCAACCAATATAATATTATTTTTAATATAAATTTAATTTGATTACTTTATTGATAATTTACAATATGTATTCATTACTTTACTCATTATTCTTAATTTATCTGTACAACCATTTACCAACCGAATCGAGCATTCTAAAACTAAATTTAATAAAAAATTGTTAGCAGTTACCAAGTAACAATAACAAAGACAGAACAACAACCACACAAATGTTCCATATTTGAAAAATAAAATTTATTCTCCCTCAATAGTTATTTCAAAGCGCAAAAACACATAACTAGCTAAAAAAATTAAAAAAAAATATATATAAATAAAATTACACCTCATCAATTATCAAGTAAAACTTTACTACAATTATGAGTAATTTAAAAAAACAATTCATTACATTTTAGTATATAAATGTATTTTTATTGTTCTCCAACGTAAAGAAATTGTAAAATATCCAAATTCACTTTAATTATAGTTAACGGTGAAGTAATGATTACAAGTAGCTACTTATAAATAGCATTATAAAAAGTAAAAATAAAAAAACTAATAAATGTAAAGGATTTTTGGGAACAATTTATTGCATATTTATTAAAAAATCAATATTAAATAAATTTATTATGTTCCCCTTTTCGAAAATGATCCCCATACGCTGTATATGTATATAGTATGAAAGGCATATAAATACATAAATACATATGTAGATTTAAAAAAACTATGTATATGTATTATTTATGAGAAAAAAATTAAAATAAATTCAACTATATATACAGAGTAATTGCAGAAATATTTACTACACTAAAAAATATTTTAAAGAATTAATGAGAGTTTTTAAGTATTTAAAAGTACGTCAAAAGACGTTTAGAATAACGTGATGAATGAAACGGCTCAATACAGTAAAGTAATTACCAAGCTGCATTTTTCGAGAGAGCATTAATCGTTTCACGACCCTTCTATCAATGGATTACCGTTATCGGAGTGAAGCTATCACTGATTGTCAGCGAAGATCACGGTGTGGCTTCAGAAACAATTTAATCCAATAATACTCATCAATCCAGAGTAGTTATGTCATCATCTCTGGATAAAACCGGACATAATATATATAAGTAACAGGGCTCGTACTTATATTACGAGCATATTGTAAGCAAAAACCGGTCGGGTCAACGAGTCTTATGATATTAAGCACACATAAACAATTCGTTTTCTGGACTTGAGGGCGTCTTAATCTGCAAAAAAATGTCTGCAGAACCACAAGAACAACAACCGATACCTTATAAAATCAGTACTGTACCCCATTAAAGTTCTAATAAAGAGTGTCACATCTCAAGTCTGCTTATCCGGATGTCAGCAAATAAGGTCCAATTACGTTGAAAAAGTGATTGAAAAGAGATATCAAAAGCATTCAGATGAATCCCGAAGTTCGGGTTCGGGCTACAGAAAACGTCGTGGTTTTTTCTATCGAAGCTTGATTCTTATGAAAATATCCGGAAGTCCCTTCAAGGTGTTAAAGAGAATAAACACCACTGAAGGGAGCGAAATTTCGAATACCGCTCGTTTCCAAAATCAAACCTTCGTAAATATTTCTGAGACAAAAAAGTTGCGCTTAAAAAATTTATCTAACAGAGATCTATAAAATCTAAGCATTTTATATGTTTCTGCATACGTATCTGCTTTGGTCAAACTGTACTTTACCTCTTACCCTCCGACTCGGGATAGTTTTCCAAGTTCTCACCCAACTTAAGTACCGCACTTCATCCTCCTCCAACCCACCTTTGACATTTCAAATATTAATTAAATTAACTAAACGTTTCCAACAAATCGAGTTCAATGAATTATGTGGGAAATGATTTCTCAGCATTCGAGTTTCTGTGATGGTGCACACTTTTTTGTTTCATCAGCGCGCGCCTCCTGTTTTAATTGCTCAGCTTGAGTGAAGGTATCTGTCAGAACGAATGTCACAAATCATATGCATCGTTAGTGCGCATTGCAACAACAAGCCGCCCCTAGCTGCGGACTTTAACGGATTTCTTTCACCAGCTTCGACAACTCAGCAACACTTAGCGCCGAACTTATGAGTTGAGCGCAACATGTGGCGTTGGTGGTTGCAGTGGCAAGGTAAGCAACTGTTGCAGCTTGTCAGCGGTGACAAATAAACGGCAGAAATATGCTTGTTTTTGAAACACTCTATTGGAAATCACAAACAAAATTTAATTCTTTTCGACTTCGAGTAGCTTTTCGAAAGTATAGCACGCTCTGGATTTCGAATACACGTTTCCACGTTTTGGAAAGCGTGTTCTTGAAGAGCGCTTGGTATCAACGTGGTTTAGCATGTGGCGCGTTCGGTGTAGATCGACAGCAACAGTGGCGGATCATTGACACTTTCAGCGGTGAGTAGGTATATACATATGTATGTAGGTGTATCTTGAAAGCAATTTTCTGTGAAAGTCTGTTTTGAGTTTGTGGGTTTCCTATTATTTTTTTTTTTTTGTTATATACTTTTGTCATTGATCTTGAGCGGCGATCGCGAGCGACTTGTAGCGAGATGAGATTGGTGGATTTATGTATGCGCCACACACGTGATATATCGCTGGTTGAGGCGCAGATGTGCATGTTACAACAGCATGTTGCACGTTGTATATGTAGTGTATGCGCGCTTCATTGATCACTTTTCCTTTTGAGCTGCAGATGGACAGACTATTTGTCTTTACTGTAGTGTGTAAGTATGTATGAACGCTCGTGCTTCCCGGTGTCTTATTTGCGCGCGCATGTCACCCATTATTCACCATTGTTGTTTTTGACTTTACCTCTAAGGTTAATGAACTCGCGCATGCATGTTTGCGCCTGCGTGTCTTTGTCATTATTACATTATCCTGTTCCTGTTGTTGTTCATGTGATTAATTTTATTTAATCCTGTCCGTTGTTTTGCTTTCTCCGCTTCCTTTAATTTTTGAGCTCGGCATACAGTGGTTGTCGCTGCTGGTGTTTGGATTAAGGTGAATGGACGCTGGTAAATACGTATAAGGCTGTCTCTTAAATCATAGCTGTTGTCACGTGATTAAATGAAACGGAACCCACACATGCAAAAAAGTATGTCGCTAAGTGTTTCAAAAAGGTAAATGACCTATGGGTAAGCAATGATAGCTAGGCAGAAGAAGTATTGTTAAGGTTGTCCACTTAAAGCTTGACTACATTGAATACCGACGAAATATAGAACATTCTAGAAGTTTTAAGGTATCTTTGGTAACATAAAAAAGCTCTAGAAACTTGTAGAATTCAACCTTTAAAAAAATTTGAGGTTAGAATTGAATTGTTTCACCTGAGAGCCGTTGTTAGATTGGAATTTGTGTCACCATTATAATCGAATTGTAAGGTTTTTTTTGTCTCCTTAGATCGGTTAACACAACAGGTGCTTGGGGTTATGGTTGAATTTTAGTCATTATTCTAGTCGAGTGATCAGTATTTATGATGTTTTCCTTATTTGGATCAAGACAAATAAAAATGGATGATTTTAAATACAATAATAATGATTTTGCATCCAAACTTGAACGGAATATGATTCAAATCGAAGGTTTTAGGTAAGTATAGCTTCAGGTCTTATAAAGTGTTAGCACAGTTTTTCACGTCCGCCTAATTTCAAGTAGCATAACACTGTAGAAGTGCTTCAAGTTTTAAGTATTCCGTCAATGAAGGTCAGTTGTTTGCGACTATTTTCCCGACTACTTTCCCTAAAAACTGAGAAGATCCATAGAACTACAAAATTTAGACTCTTATTGCTCTAAATTTGCAGACATTTTCTCATTAACAAATTTCTGCAAGCAACAATCTTGCTTCGTAATATTCTCCAATTTTCGTTGGCACATTCCAAAGTCCGCTAATTTCATTATACACGCGACAAAGCGCATTCCTTGCCACGTCCGTCGTCGTCCAGCTAGACGAAAATGTCTGTCCGACGTCTGGCCTGTGCCTTTTGACTATTTTTGGCATTTGGTATTTGGCAAAGTGTTTAATGTACGCACTAGATGGAGGCATAAAAATAACAAAATGGGGAAGCAAACAATAACAACAACAACTAAAACGCCCCAGCTAGCTAGCGTTGTTGAGGACGAAGCTAAACGGGAAGAAGAAGAAGAAGTTTGCGTGTTTAGACGCTGACGCAGCGCCGAACACTGCCAACTAAACCGCTGCTGCGCATGCAAATGCGGTGGCTGCAGCTACTGCTGCTTTGCGGCGAGCGTCGTCTACTTCTACTCATTCTGGTGCGTGCCAAGGCTGCTCGCACACACGCACGCATGCAGGCACTCAGTTGCCGACTTTGGGGGGTTGTTGCTGCAGCTCTGTGGCGACTGTCAAGATCATTGCGATCGTTTAACGGATGCGTTGCTGCTGTTGCTGTGATTCCTGCTGCACTCATAGTATAGTACGGACGGTTCGGGCGCACTTTTTGATTGTTGCATTCCAAATTGGGACGTTGACGCGCACGCTTGCGATCGGTAAACACGAATTCGGTGCGCTATTTATTGATCGTGCGATATCGGTGACTAGTTGCTGTGTGGATTTTCGATATTGCATACAGTTTAAATATAAATTTGGTATATTGTAGAAGAAGTAAAAGTGATCATAAGAACTAAACTCAATTTGGTGAAGTTAAGTGTGTTTCAAAAAAGTGAAAAAAGGTCTAGTAACTTTTGAATAACTGGGTTTAATTTGCTCTAAATACTTGTAGAAAAAAGATTATAATAAAAAAAAAATTAATTGATATAAAAAAAATTAACAAAAATAAAAATAAAAAATAAATATAATTAAACAAATTAAAAAATAATTATATTTTATATGTGTGTCTGAAGGTTCCTAATAATGTGCATAAATACTTAAATAATTCCTTACTGTTCCATGCATTTATCTAAATACCAAAGATATACTGTGCCAAATGTGTTTGAACTTAATTTATTTTATTTGACTTAATATAATAGAAGCGTTAAGTTTTAATTTTAACTATTTTTAAAATAAAATCAGCAACCAAGCGACGTATAAAACTGGAGGAATTATATTAAAAATAACATTTTAAAGTTCGCTGAGGTAAGTCCAACATAATTGTTAAGAACTTCAAAAAAAACTATATATATACAAATGTCAAAATATTAAATTATTAATTATTATAGAAAAGAGAAATTTATAAATAATAGAGAGAGATAAAGATAAATAGTTTAGCGGAGAGAATGAAGGAAGTAAATGACAGTCTCCATCAAAATTTTTCCCTCAAAGAATTCGAGAAATTTTTAAATCATAGAGAGAGAGAGGGATATATATTAGAAGAGAGAATGAAGGAAGCAAACGGCAGTCTTCACCACTTAGAGCCGAGATTGTTCATATAATAACATTTTTGGGCTTATATCAATGATAATTAATTTCCATCGAGCTACTCACTTGATATTATCATAGCAAGAGAGGATTCTAAAAGTTTTTAAGTCACATACGAACATAACACGAACCGAATTTCATAAAGGGTTTTACCTTGCCAGAGATGATTACGATTTTATAATCAATTTTACTTATATCTCAATTTATGACAGTATATAGCAAATATAAGTATAAATGATCAGCGTGACGAGTTGTGCCGACTTAGCCATGTCCGGTTCTTCGTCTGTCTGTATATGCGCGACAGTCTTTGTGATTCCGAACTGAAATTTTACACACGCCCTTTTCTTCTCAGGAAGTTGTTGGAATCGTCAATATTGTACCACTATAGCACATAGCTGCCATACAAACTGACCGATCGACCTCAAGTCCTTATATGGAAAACATTTTTTTAACAAGATATCTTCACAAAATTTAACATGGATTATTGTCCGAGGCAGCGCTATAATATCCGATTATATTGGAATACATATCTGCCATACAAACTGATCGATAAGAATCAAGAAAAAGATCTTTTTATACCCTTTTATACTATAAGAAATGTAATTGCTGAAGTTAACATTTTTTCTTATTTTCAGTAAATCAGCTTTTATGTATTCATAAATCCGTACTGATACCCAAAAACTCTTCTCAAACGAGGGAGTCGCTCCTAAAAATACAAATACTTGATTGATGCTCAGTATTCGCATTATGCATTTCTGACTTCTGGTTAAAATGCTGGAGCAACCCATTTTCATATGCCTACCTCACAGAATACAACTATTTCACATTTTACAAACTGTATTTTGCCTGAGCCAAGGCTTTAAAACTTCCTCATCGTCAAGTACAAATCTTATCATTCAATTTCATTCTCACTTTTCCTAATTCGTTTCCGCAGGCTATTAGATTTCCGCCTTCCCACTCACTTAATAACACATTACAATATACATACGTACATTGAAGTACGTACGTGCATGTGTGTGTATGTAAGTGTATGCGCTCGTGCGCTTCCTCACTCATTCACTTTCACACATTTTCCAAGTATGTAACCGATCAAGTTCAACGCCATCAGCAGCAAGAAAAATTATCTATCGCAGCAACTGTTACTCCTCCCCAGCTACACGACTGGGCTGGAGCTCAGCCACCAAATTTCCCGTTAGCATTGCACCGCCACTGTCAGCCGCCAAAAGCAACAACAAGAAAATGTGCATAAGAATGACACAAAAAATAAATGTGATGCGCAGTGGTAACACAAAAACAAAAGCCAAACCAACAACAACATCAAGTCGAAAGTAGTTCAATGCGCGAAGTCAGTGTGTTTTGTTGTTGTTTTAGTTACACTATTTTATGCATTGTTCGCTGGGGTCCTGTGTGTCGTTGCATTGTCTAACTACCGCTACCAACACAACAAATGCCGCTGTTATTGTTGTTGCTATTTTGGCCCCGTCTGGCTGTTGGCCGCGCATCGCTATCACTCAACGATTGCCTATCTTTGCACGCGCCGCTCTATTTTCGGCAACTCCAATTCCAACTGGCTGACAACTGTCGTAGTATATACATGCATATACCTATATGTATTGCTAGATCGTGGCAGTGTTTTCCGCAGCGCAGAGGCATTTTCATGTAGGGAAAACACTCGAACGGTTGGGCGGTTGACGTAGAAATTTGTGTTTATTTTCTTTTGTGTGCGTTAATGGGTATGTGTGTGTTGTTTATTTTGCAACTGGGAAAATAAGGTGCACTGTGAGAAATTTCCAAAAATCAAATCGATAAACCTTAACGATATAGCGAAGCGAATAGAAAGAAACATTGGCAATTAAAATTTAAAGGAAAAATTTAAATTGAAAATTTCGTTATTATCAAGTCCTTGTTGAAAAAATATTATCTCTTTCAAGAACTTCATTGCACAGCTTTATTTAGAACACGTTTACACATGACTTCTGTTGTCAATTATCGGGAAATTATCTTTTGTCTTTTGGCGTTGCCCATTGCAATCATACGGACGACACGAGCCCGGCGAGTCAAGTCTCACAATTTTCTGCAAGTTTTTGTGTGCTAATTATACCCTGGACAGGATATATTACGTTTTTAATGAAGTTTCTAAGGCCCAGAAAGAAACATGGGAATCCCTATAGAATATATATATCTATGCATGATCAGCATGAAGAGTCGATTTAGCCCTGTCCGTCTGTCCTTCTGTATATACACCAACTAGTCCCTCGGTTTTGAGATATCGATCCGAAATTTTTCATACGTTCTTTTCTCCCCAAGAGGCTGCTCATTTGTCGGAACAGTCAATATCGGACCACTATAGCATATAGCCGCCACACAAACTAAACTATCGTAATCAAGTTCTTGTATGAAAAACTTTATTATTTGAAAAGTTATTTTTACGAAATTTGGCATAGATTGTTGTATAAAACAACGGTATGATATGCAAAGAAATTGTTTAGATCGGAACGCTATAGCATACCTATAGCTGTCATACAAGCCGAACGTTAAAAACTAAGTTCCGGTATGAAAAGCCTTTTTATTTGACAAGCTATCTTCACGAAATTCGAGATAGATTTTTCTCCAAGGCAATATCCAAAGAAATTTTTTAGATCGGACTACTTTATGATTTATTCTTGCATGAAATTTTTTTTATTTGTGCAGGGTGCTCTAGCTACGGTGCAACCGACGTTAACAGTTTTTCTTGTTTTATACATATTTGCATATAACATATAAAAAATATATGTTAAAATTCTAATTTTCGATCATAACATTTTCGAATTTCATACACAAAAGCTGTCGTGCGTGAACGTAGTCTTACACGCAAGCAAAAGGAAGTTTAGTGTTGTAACGTAGCAAAAACCTAGCAATGGTAATTTAATTTAAAAACGTACTTGAAAATATTTTTAAAACAATATATTGTTTTTGTTCTCTTTCTATTCTCATTCTGTTTCTTCATTATTGCATTATTCAAAATTTGCTGTACCTAAAACAAAATAAGCAATATGAGATAACCACCTGGTTTGTACTTTTTCGTTTCACAACATTATCCTCTATTTCGCACAGTGTAGAAAACTCGAAAATTCCTGTAAGTTTATACAATTTTTATGTATTTCTTAAGGAACGTGCCTTTTCGATTGTATTTTCTCTATTAACATTTTGCCGTTGTTTATTTATAACATTCGCGTATGTGTATGCCGTACAAAAATCTTCAAATGCAGCAGCATGACTGCACCCAGCGCCTCCAGCAACGCTGCAAGCGACATCAACGGCACTCAAGACAAGCAGAGCGATCTAGTCTCTAAAAATATCTCCACCACGTACGTTATTGGAAAGCGCATCACTATCGCCCCAATGCATTGGGAGCATTAGAATACAGCTATTCCGTTATAGGCTTGCGCAAACGCAACCTAAACTGACGTGTTGGCAAAGCGGGTGCGCGGCAGACAACTAAACACTAAATACACCGTCAACAGTGCAATGACATTGCCAGAAGATGTGTGGTACATATGTAATATGGTTGTAGTGTAGCGACACGCGTGCGCTCCTTGAAAAATGACAACTTGCGGGTAACAGGAAAAACTATAATGAAGAAGGAATTGTGTCTATTACCAGCGCTGCCAGCAACAGCAACATCAGCATCATTTTGTAGCGTCAACGTCGCTGCGTTGCAGGGGGTTAGAAATACAGATTTACACATTTACTGCCTGTTGTCCACATATGTATGTATTTCCGCGGAAGCCACAGCAGCTGCGCGTGTAGCTTGGCTGGCTGCTTGTTGTCATTTGAAAAGGAAGACTTCCGTCATAGAAATTCTTATTTCATTACGCATTTGCCAGCTCGGCGGCTGCAGGCGCATGCAATTCCTGCGCGTTGGCTTTACAATATGTATGGGGAGTTGGGCTTTTTCTTGTTGGTAGCTACACACTTGTATTGGGGGAGCTGTGTCTGTTTTGTTTGTGTGGTAATGATTTGAATGTGTATGCACTCCTTCCACTGACAACACAGCATGAGTATTGCTTGTTGTCTCCGCATTTTGTTACCCTCAATATTTATAAGGTATCGCATATCGGCTATTCTATGATATGTATACTTATATGTATGTATGTATGCCCATGTAGTTACTTTTCGTTATATTTTATGTTATTTATCTTTAAGTTGGTGTGAACTTGAGGATTTATGTCGAAAAGCTATTTGTTGTATTTGTTTAGCACTTAAATTCTTGTAGCAAGAAAAAAATTTAGCTTTACTACTGTAACGTGTTGAAAATATATTTTTAATTACACGCGCTGCAGTATCTACATAGAAACTAACTTAAGGCGAGTGCAAGGACCCCCCATCGCAATGCACTTTCAGCAAGATTAATGTTTTGATAAATGTAAAAATGCAAAGCTAGTACAACAAAGAGGCTTAGTTAATACGAAATTGTCTGCAGATTGCGATATCTATGAAAATACATATGTACACCTTTAATAATTTTGAGTTCATTGATCTCACATCGGTTGACAATTGTACTTTTGTCATTTATAAAGTGATAAATCATGAAACTAAAACATGAGTGGTGGATTTAAAAATCACTTGCATCATTTTTCGATAGTAACGGTTAGTACTTGGACCGATTATTAAGCAGAAAAAAAGTATAGAAGTACAAAAGAAAGGCATTTAATTTTTAAACGGGTGACACAGGATTGCTACGTAATTTTTATAGAAAATTCTCTGCTAGATAATTCCAAAAAAGCGTTTAATTGTTAAAAGGTAAACAGTAGACATACATAACCTCATTTAAATTGCACTTTTTGGCAATAAAATAAAAAAACTGTACCGAAGCTATAATGTCCTTTACGGCTGCATTTTTTATACAATGAAATGCAAGCTACCATTTGGTTCGGTCAGTTTTTATGGCAGCTATATACTATAGTGGTTCGGTCTGAACAATATGTTCGGAGATTGACAGGAAATGCAATGAGACATTGGAGTTCAAAGCAAATCTTTAGTAGTCTCAATTTCAAATAAAAACTGTTTTTTCAAAACACAAAAATTCCTTCTAAATATTATATTATCAACAATTTTCTCCTAAATCCTTTCTTTCCAGTTTGGTTCATCCACAAGTCATGTTCTCCATTATTGACGCTCAGTCGACGCAGCATGCTGGCAGTGATTGTGTGGATCATATCGACTTAAATAGTTCCTTCACATCGGATATTATGACACAATCCTGCGAATCAGATGTCTCCTATCACATCTACAATGAATTGCAATATGCTACGCAACAACAATACGGTCAAAAACAAATAGCTTATCAACAACAACAACCGATAACACCAGCAGCAACCACCAACGCTATACCAATACTACAATCTGGCATTATCTATGGCTTTCGTACGCGCCATCTATCGTGCATAGAAGAGAACGATTCTGATTCATTGCACTCCACTTCAGTACCGCAAACACTGGAAATGTTGAAAGATGTTGATGAGTGTTTTAAGCAATTGACCACCGCTGGTGATAATCCCAACCATAACGATGGAGCGTTGAATTCGCTGTTAATGCAAGCGGTGGATGATGATGATGATGGCATAACTATGATCGATGAGACGCGTCTCTACGATATGGAATATTTTGATGAATTGAGCGTTAGCAAAAATGAGACGGCCGATACAACGCTCGACATGAGTTACACAAGTCAAAATAGTGAAGAATATTGGCAAAGCACCACTTCGGAGCCGGTGCATTTGGTGCAGCGCTCACACATCTATCAGCAACCCGATATAATGACCACGTCATGCTATGGCGCTTTGAATACTTCGTTCGATAGTGAAAGTTCCGGTCCGCCGGTTTATATGAGCACATCAACACCGACGAAGCAAAAGCTTGCGAAAGTTTCGACGGAGAAAGTGGAAGCGCTCTATGCTACACCGGAGAAGCGACGTGAACACAATCGTAGTTTCGATTCGCAAACAAGTTCGATTTATGGTGCTGCCGTTGGTGGTGGTGTGCCGAATGGCTACGAGCAGCAAGTCAACGGTAATGCTGCTGGTGTGCCGAATGAAAGCATCTATTCCTTCTCGTTGAACTCGGGTGTGAGTGTCAATGATATGTTGCAACAAATGTCGCTGCCAATAGAGTTGACGGTGATGAACTTGAATGGTGGCAATGTTGACGATAAAATCAATCCGGCTGAAGAGTTGAGCGAGGAAATGGCGGCGAAATGCTTAAATGCAGCGCAAAATGGTGAGTCCATTAAATACTTTTCTATTCATTAAGTTTGAAACTTAATATCTTTTATTGTTTTAGAATTTCTGTAATATATTCTAGCAACTGTTAAAATATTATTTTAAAAATGTGTTGAATTCATTTCATTCATTTTCAAATATCTAATCATATAAGTGAGGATTTTATTTTCAACATATGAGTAATATCTTTTCAAATATCATAAAAAAATCTTTTCATAATGCAAAAAATTAAAATTAAAAAATTCTGAAAACTTTGATTTTTTTGTTTATTTATTAAATATAAATCAAAATGATATTGCTTTCGTAATATAAGCCTTCAAAATTCGTCGATCAAACTTCATCAAACCGTAATTTAATACATTTCCCATCCAAAACAAAAAAAAAATACAATCGTAAATACTACCGTTATTATTTCATATCTTTCAACTCACTGCTACTGAACATAACTTCTCATATCAGTATTAAACAATCAATGTCCATACCCTGTAGGAAATTTTGTCAAACATACGAAATTTGGCAGTAGAACTGAGATTTTGTTGTTGCGTAAATTGGAGTGCGAAATCATGACATTTTCATGAAAGCAGTATTCTCTAAATATTGAACTCGGAGAATTTGAAAATGAGAAGCCTTTTATTTATAATTCTTGAATTTGATAGGTTCGAAACAACATCTAAATGTTCCTTAATGTCTGTTATAGTCATTGTAGCGGCCAAAAGATCCCAGTTTACAGATCTTGGCCGAAAAAAAAATCGGGGTCATTTTGTAGATCCGACTGTCAGGGCAGATACATTATCTGTCTTTAAAAGTAATTATTAATTATTTCAAAATAATTTACATAAACGCTGACGAGTTTTCAGATCTGTACTAAAGAAAAATTAAATGTAACCAACTCCGACTTTGAGGACCCTATTCATAATTGGTAAAAAATATCGAAAAATAGTCAATACTTTTGCTTTTTTCGTTGTTTTTCTATTGGCATTAGACCTCTTCATTTTGATTTTGTACAATGTGGGCATGTCGATAGTTAGATGGATATAAATTGTGGTCCTTTAGACCCGGCTATCCTGGAAAAAAGTTTCCACACAGAAATATTTTAGTCGTTTACATTAGTTTTCTCGCAGACAGTGCACATTTTGAAACATATTTGTTTGTGTAAGATTACCCACTGTTTAGATAAATGCCACCAGCTTGCACTGATTAACAAACGATAAGTTTAAGTGGCGAGTTTTAATGTTGCACAGATTACAACCATTTACAGAATGTATAAAACTCATTACGAGATACTTGAAAAATGTTACTAAAACGAATGTGGTGGCATTACAAAATTTAATACGAGGGTTAGTTCCTCCAATCATAGAATGTGGACCCTTTAAAGATTGAAAATGAGGAACTGGAAGCATTAATCGATGAAGATTTTTGGTAACCATAAGAAAAGGTCGCAGAATCTTTGGGATTCACTTAAACAGCTATTTCAAGACGTTTAAAAGCAACCGGATACATTCAAAAGCAAGTAAATTGGGTGCTATATGAATTGAAGCCAAGATACGTTGAAAAACTATTTTGAATGTCACAAATGCTGCATGAACGCTACAAAAAGAAATCGGTTTTGTATCGCATTGTGATCTACGATGAAAAATTATTCCATTACGACAACCCTAAGCCCAAAAATCAAATTTGAAACCAATCATTATGACAACGGTCGCCCTCATGTTTCAAGACCAGTTAAAAACTGGCTCATCCACCTTATAGCCCAGACCTTGCTCCGTTTAAATAACTACTATTTTTTCCGGTCGATGCAGATCTCGCTCAATGGAATACGGTTCACATCAGATCCATCAGAATAGGGTATCAAAGGGCTTGATCTATTGTTGGCAGCAGTGCTTTTAAAATGGAAACCAAAATTTGCCAGAAATATTGGAAAATGTTATAGCTTCAGATGTGTAATACTGTGACAGCTGACGATTATATAATTTAAGGTATGATCATTTTGAGTTTCAGAAAAATCTTAATATTCAATTCAATTAGTTCACCCACGTAAAGGCATTTACGAGCCAAGAGAATATTTAATAGTAATAACATCAACATGTTGACATTAAAAACAAGCAAAGAAGTGCAAAATCGGTGTGTAAACGCAACACTGGGAAATAACAACTAGAACAACAAAAACTACAACAACATCAACATATCATTGCAAGTTATAATCTCAAGTGTAAATGAGCAAAATTATGAGTCATCAGCATTACGCGACAGTCACAGGACAATCAAACTGCTCGGTGTGCTCTGCAAGCAGTCAAGCGCACAACCAGTTAACCGGTCTACTAACTGAGCAATTACTTACCTACATATATATGAGTTTAGTAGCTCACATAAAACTCGCTTGCAGGCGACTTCATTACCTTTCATTTAATATATATGTATGATGTATGGGAGCACTTAGTTTCTGGATCAAACTGGGCGTCTGTGGTAGGCGCAAGTAGGCGACATTTGAACAAGAGCAATGGCACCACAAGCAAACCTGTTACTGGCGTTGCAATGAAATTGCGCTTAATATGAGCTTACTTACCTATAATTATATATATTTCTGCACAACTTCAAAGTGCCATCATAATATTAGACTGAGCTCACTTTATAACCGTCAAGCTCCACGACTTCTTTCTTGTATACATGTATGTGTGTGTGCGCCTATTTCGAAAGATCGCCCTTTCGCATGCATCATGATCACCATCATAACCGCTGCAGCAGACACCAGACAGTGCTAACAGCCAAAAACAACAACAATAAGAAAAAATGTTAGCTTCGGCTGCACCGAAGCTATAATACCCTTCACATGTATATTTCTTATAGCAAAAAAGGGTATAAACAGATTTTTATCGTAATAGCAATTTGTTCGGAGATTGTAACGCTACCTTAGAAAATAATCTACTCTAAAATTCATGAAGATAATTTCTCAAATTAAAAAAGTTTTCCATACAAAAACTTGATTTAGAGCGGTCAGTTTGTATGGCAGGTATAGTCTATAGTGGTTTGATCTGAATATTTTGGACGCTTATATACCCTGTTCAGGGTATAATAAAGAAGTGAGACAATGCTAAGAAACGCTAGAAGACTTGCAAGCGTTTGCATTGAAGCGTGTCTTCAGCGTGTTGTAGAACTTGTATACGCTCCGGTAGTTGGTTTGTTTGTTTACTTGACCAAACGGGAGGCTTGCAACCGGCCGGCTGATGACCGGTTAGTTGGTCGGTTGGTCTGCTGGTTGAATATTGGTGTGTTTATGTGTAAACAGTTTAATTGTGTTGCCACAAGTGGTGGTGCGATAATGATGCAGCAGGTATTATGTATGTAGGTAGGTTTATATGTGTGTGAAGATGTGAGCTTGCAAGAATACTAACGAAATATGAGACTTTGCACAAACTAAAAAAGAAACGAATACCGCGAGTTGAGAACACAGTCAATAGCTGTGGCAAGTTAAGCAAGAGTTTCTATAATTTTATGTAGTTGTGTGCGTATTTCCAGTGAAAAAAAGTTTACAAAACATTTATAGTTCTTAAATATATAAAAATTCAAAGGTCGGTTTACTTAGAGGTAAAACTTACTGGCTTAAAAGTACTTTTGTCAATCGAATTTCTCTTCTCCAAAAAACTACAACAACTAGAACAACAGTCGACTTTCTGAGCACACTTTCTTGCAATAGTTCTTTTACGCTAAATCGCTGATAATTACCTCTAAAACGATGATCTCCATATGAGTTTGGGAAAACATATTTTTCTGCGCCTTAGACTTCGTTTCATGGGGGCTTCAACCTAAAATTAACTGAGTACTCTCACGCCTGCAACACATGTAACTACAACAACACAATCAGTTGTTCGTAAGTTGGTAATATTTATCTGGCCAAGGGCTGTAAAGTCAAGGATGACATAATACGAAACTCCTTGATTCGAGAGAGAGAGCCGTCAAAACTCACATTTTTATAACATTTGTCAATGAGGTCACTGTCGAAAAAAAAATATTGGGTATATTAAAAATAACTTTTGGGCACTTGGAGGATTTTGGTTCCTTAAGAAAGTATAAGAGCTTCTTTGGTGAAATAAGGCCGCGAATTTTACTTTTTTTAAGCCTCAGTTTAATATTCTTATCCTAGTTTCTCAGTCAAAGATCTTCTTTAGTATATTATGGCTGTTACCTGAGTTTAACATTTTTGAGAGTCAAAAAGCTTCCTAAATACAATAAGACCACAAATTTAACTGTTTTTTTTTATATCTAAGACTGACATTCTTTTAACTCCAAGATAATTATTGTCTGAAGATCCTTTGGGGTTCTTTATTTTTAAAATTCAATAAATATAGAGATAAGAAGTATAAATACTTAACTTATAGTACGTCTTTAAATTTTCATATCTAAAGTTAGCACTTTATCATAATGAAAAAGGTCAAATATCATTTTCAAGTGTTAGTTCATCCCTTGTGATTTAGTTCTAATTAAATTTGTACGAGCAAACCCAAGTAGACACAATCGAACTTGATTTTCACACAAAACAAAGCATTTGCCTTGTTTCGTTTACCTTTCCTTTGCTGTATAATTTTCCGGCACCGCTTCGTCTTGCCAAGTGTGTTGCGGTTCTGCAGGTACACACGTGAGCCACTAAAGACAATGAACTTGTAAAATGCTCCAGCGATAAAGAGTTCAAAAACAAAAGAGTGAAACGTTATCGCTTAGAAAAGAGCGAAAGATAACTAATGAAGTGTAAGAGAGTGTGGCAAATTGCGACATATTTTCATGGTGCTGCACTTGAGAACCGTGAAGTGAAATGTGACTCAAGATTACCTATAAAAACATTTGAGCCGATGTGTTACAGCTGTTAGGGATTTCAATGAAAAAAAAAACAACTTTTTTGTATATATAAAAGCAATTACGGTTGTTAACTAACTTCATCAAACATATACACGCATTTGTAAAATAATTTAAAATCGATGTACAAGTATGTTTATCAAAAAACAAAAA